CTAACCCTAACCCTAACCCTAACCCTAACCCTAACCCTAACCCTAACCCTAACCCTAACCCTAACCCTAACCCTAACCCTAACCCTAACCCTAACCCTAACCCTAACTCTTCTTTCTACTACTCTTTTCTCTCTAACTCGTCTAACTTGTCTAGCGAGTTAAGACTCGCCGAAATTATCTTCTACTTTTACTTATAAAGAAAGCGCTTCTACTTCTTAATACGTAGAGCGCGGGAAGTAGCCTCTTATTAGGCCGTCTACGCCTTCTACTAAAGATTCTATACTTCTTCTTTCTCGGCCTCTAGCTTAGCCTTCTAAGCCTCGATACTCTTCTAGTCGAATTCTATAAGTATTCGGTTTACCTCTTTTATATTATAGGTCTTATCTATAGTAGTATAGGTACTATAATAACTATAGTTCGGGTTTTATAAAACTATATATATTTTTCTCGCCTTTTTATATTAAGAATAAAGTGTTATCTTTCTTCTAGTTAAATTAATCTATTTTCTAAGGGCTATAATATTAGAATATCTAGTTATATAGTCGAGTAGTATATTAGAAGAAAGAGAAGTCTATAGTCTTTAACTAACGTATTTCTTAGTTATACTTAAGTATATAGACTCGCTAGTTCGAATAGAGAATAGTATTATAAGTAGCGTTAGCCTTAGCGTTATAATACTTCTAGGACTAAAAGTCTTAGAATTAGACGAGGTTATAGAAATTAAGTAGTTTCTAGGGCTATTATCTAATAGCTTAATTTAGTTAAAGTTAGTAGTATTTATATTAGCGGATAGGCCCCGGTTTAGAGTACTATTACGTAATAAGAGAAGTTTAATAAGTTCGCTAGATAAACCTATTAAACCGACTAGAAGTTCGATAAGTTTAACTAGTAAACCTATTAAACTTAAGAAAAGAAAGTTCTATATAATAATTATAATTTTCTTAGATAGAAGCTTTATACTTAACTTACTATAGTAATAGTATATTATCTATTTAACTTACTCTTATTATAATAAATATACCTTTAAGTATATAATCTAATAATCTTATATATACTTACTTATATTCTAACCTAACAAAACCTCTATCTATAGTATATAGAATATTTAAATTATTATATCTACTTATATATAATAATAAATCTATATAATATTAATCTAATACTAAATAGATATCTATATTAAAAGATAATAAATTTCGATCGATAGAGTTATAAGTTATTATTAAAGGTAATAGTATAGTTTTTATACTATAGTAGTATATAGATTATATATATAGGCCTAAACTATTTATAAGTAATATTATAAATATATAATAACTTAATATAAATAAGTTATATGTAACTATAAGTTAGTTTCTAGGTAGATATAGTATATATTTAATATAATACTAAGTTATATCTATTTATTTTTAGTATTAATTAAGACTTTAGTCGATAGAGTTTAAGTAGAGTTATAATATCGACCCGAAGCCGCCTAGCTATAAAGCCGCCGCTAAACGTATAGACTAAAATAGATACTTTTATAAAGAGAATTAGTAATTCTAGTAAGAAGAGCCTATAAATAGCTCTTATTAAAGTTACGATTATCGACAATAGTATAGATTTCTACGGCCTTTATAAGATTAAAGATAGAATATTATTTAATTAAACCCGAGATCTATACAATAGACTACCTAAGTCTTTCCTATCTACTTTAGGTCGGAATAGCAAAAGCGAAAATCCTGCACAAAGTGTGCCTATCTGAAAATTGTATGTAGCGAAGCTTAACGAAACAGTAGGCCGAAGAGAATTCACGATAAAATATACTGCAAAGGTATCATGACTCTACACAGCCCTGACGAGGATCAATATGCTGACATTTGCAGGCTATTCAATAGGCAGTTGATAATGATGTGTATACAATATTCATAAGTTGGACGATCGACAAGGCCCCTGATGCCGACATAAAAACCCTGAAAAAAGCGCTAGAGAATGCGAAACAGAAGGAAATTATCATGTTCTGTACTGCCCGAGATGAAGGAAAAGAGGCCGCCGACAGAAAAGTCTATCTATACGATGCCGCACAAGATGCAATTATACGTATTGGTCCCACAGACTAATACGGAAAGCAACGGTCATATGTTCCAGAAAATATCGATCTCCTCCTACCCGGGGTGGCCTTATCAGAGCAACCAATAGTGCTAACAAATGTCCCTAAAGATGAGCTAAATAGTGGAGAGGGAAGCTTAGAGGCAACTGCCCTTGCTGCAGGAGTTGCAACCCTAGTTATGTTTTGTTTTGGGGCTATACGCGGTACTAAGGGAATTAACGAAGTCAAAGGGTCTGCTCGAATGAGAAAGCTCTTTGATAAGTTTTCGTTTAACACCGATCATTTTGTTCACCCAGAACTTTTCCATCTCGCAGCTGAAAAGGCAAAAGTCAAGAACGATGTGTTGGATTTTGTAGACAAGGAGATAGACAGCCGCATGAGAAATCTGATTGTTTCCTGTCGTGGAGTTCTCAATCCCCCGAGGAACGCGAACTTGAAGACGTGCTTATCGCTATCCATAGCACAATACAAATTGTGATGGCTGGGGAATGTATTGAGTTCAAACTTTGCTGCTGGGAACGAAATATCAGAGTTAGCCTAACGTCAATTCTACGGTAACAGGTACTAAGACAAAAGTTCTTCATACCATCTCTAAACACATCATGAAACGCTGTTCTGAAATCATGCTTATCCATACGCAGGCATGTCCTCCACCTCACCCAGACCTCAGGGATTTTTTCACCTTCTTAGGCATCTCTGAATAACACTTAAACTTACTTCGAGACTAAAGAGGTGTAGAGTAAACAATTACATTAAACAAATTCTACTACACACCTTAAGTATATGCGACCTTACACGGGTAGTGATCAGCGGGATGCCCACCTCCTCTTAACATCATGTAAGCACGTTGGCCATTGACGTTGGCACCTATCGGATTTCCTTTAATTAAGTCAAACGCCGTATACGCATCAGTGATCTTAAACTCCCTGATCGTCATCGCCAACATGACTTTGACTTCCGTTAGAGCCAGTTCTTGCCCGATACAGTTCCGCGGACCTTTCTCAAACGGGCGCCACGCGTTCTTGGGAGGATACAATGGATGGCCTTCAGATACCATCCAGCGCTCGGGCAGAAAATCTTCCGGTCGAGGCCAAACGTACGGGTTGTGATGAACGGCATAATGGTCTCCCCAGACCAAGCAATTCTCTGTTGGGAACTTTCGACCATTTTCATCCTGCAGAAAGAATCCAAATTGGCCGTCTCGTAGTGCGGCGACCGTAGGATATATGCGAAGGCTTTCTTTAATCACCGCAAGAGTAAACACGAGACGATTCAATAGTGCCGGGTTGGAGCTAATCACATCACCGACCGATGAACTGCCATCGCCAAATATGTGATCATGCTCTTCACGGACCTTGGCGAGAACCGCTGGGTTTTGGGAAAGTAGATGATATGTGAAAACAGCTGCCGCAGAAGTTGTGTCGTGACCAGCGAACACAAACAACTTTATCTGACTAATTGCAAAGTCTTTGAATGTTGTATTGATCCCAGTCGCAGACGGTGTCTCATCCACATAGGCTGCAAGTGCAAGATCAATGACTGATTTTCCCAAATTGTTCTTGTCACTTCCATTGGCTTGAAGGCTTGTGTAACGAGTGTCGAGTTCCTTCACGAGATACCGGTTCATCTTCCAGGAATTGAAAAGATGCACAAATGGTCGAAAAATGTTGAAATATTCAAGAGGATTAGCGTTTAAGCCAGTCGTGCACCACAACAACTGATTGCGCAGTGAGGCCGTCATCTCGTTATACCTGGTTTGGCTGTGAAAGCTGTGGTCCCTAAAGCATGGTCAGTGTCGATGGATTCTCTTTCCTATATTCAACTTACATCACAGCCCTCCCGATGATGTCTATCGTTAAATTTAGACTAGCTTCCTCCAGGTGAAGAATATCGCCTGACTCTGCATGCTTGCTGAGTATGTTTTTGAAAATTATTGTCTCCTCTACCATGCCGGGGACTAATGTCAGTATATGGGCGCTGCTGAACCCTGGGTTGAATCGTGACCTCCAATGCTTCCATTCAGGCCCCTCTAAAGTGACCAAATCCTTCTCCCCAGTAAGTGGGCGCAAGAATTTACGTATTCCTTTGTCTTTGGGTATTTGATTAGCTTGTGTCAACTGGTACATCATATCAGGATCGAGGACTATCAGCATGATGGGCCCAAATGGCCATATATCTAGATAGAATGCAGATTTGAGCTCAGGATATCGTTGCCTAATCTGGTCTCCAAGATAGACTCCATGGGCTGCTTTTGGGAGGCTTCTGACAATGGCGATTACGAGAGGAAGATGACCCCAAAGTAAATGGTGGCATGGGGGCATAGGCTGGTTGGCCTTGTAAGCATTTGTATTATAAACGAAGATACTCAATACACTCACCAGGCCTACACGTCCAAGTCTACGAACATACCTGCGAACTCGGTATAGTTTGGTAAGGAAGACGCTGGATAAAATGCAAAGCACAGCCACGACGATTTCGAACGTTCCAATTGAAGGCTGTCTAAATATCATGATGGACGCTGAATAGGGCCAAGACGAGTGGCACACATGCAATTGTCGTCGATTGTAATTAAGAGAGCCTGCTCTGAGATGTTTGCTTTCTCTTACGAGCCCATCAGTCTCATTTCTTAAATCAACCGTCAGCATGTTGGATTGTGGGTCTGTCGCGCCACAACAATTCAAGCGAGGAGGTCGTAAAGGAGTAAGGGGCAGATTGGCAGTCCCTTCCTCCGAAGTCGTTGACTGCACAGTCGAACTCCTACGAGAACCTGACATCTGCAAGCGATACACATATGATGAATACCGGGTCCTATATTAGTCTCAGTTCCCAGACGCAGCATTGCAGTGTGTGACTCCACGTTCCAAGGGAAGGCTTGAAGTTTTTGGTAGGACGCATCTGAGAGCCGCCCAAACGAGCAGAAAGCCATGGTCATCTCCCATCAAACTTTCTCGCAGCCCAAGCAGCTCCGTGCTCTTCATACTCCTGTTTAGTAATAGACAGCCTCTTGAGCGCCTCCACATCAGTAGCAAGAATTGCACCACCTTGCCATGTGCTAACAATAGGGTCTGCAGCTTTTGCAACTCTGACAATACATTCGGCTGGAGCCAGTGATCTTATTTCCATATCAAGCCTCTCAGAAAAACCAGGTACATTCGCATTACCGCCAACTATCACGACATTGGCCAAGAAGCCAGGCCAGAGCCCGAATGGAACAGCAGACAGGCTATCCCAGATTAGCTGAGCGATTCCGGATTGCCTCATGCCTATGTCGGACGGATTGAACAGAATCTCTGGTACTGTAAACCTCTCATTCCTCAGGGTCAAGATATCCTCCGCTGCTTCCACAGACTTTCCTGTGGTAAGATTCTTCAACTTCCCCGCCGCATTTGGGTCATGATCTCGTGCATATCCTTTAGACCTCTTATGATAATCAGGAAGTACATAATCTATCGCGATACCTTCACTCGTGGCATACACCTCCCGACGGTCGCCCTTTGGTCCCTTCCATGTTCGCTCCATATCGCCTTTAAAATCCCTTGAAACGTAGCAGCATGCCTCCTTGATCTCGTTGACTATGTAGGTATCATTCCTCATGTCGTACTGTCTTCTGGATATCAAGCGAGCAAGATAGTTGGTTAGAAACTTCCCACCTATATCCAGTCGACGCACTGCAGGCTGGATCGCTTGGCCTTGCAAAAGTGGTGTTACGGTTGTATGGGAATAACCGGAATCAATCAAAAGGAGGATTTCTGCTGGTGAACTCGTTTTAGGGGGTGCTCGAGGGACCGGAAAGAGGGACTGAATATTGTGATATGCGTTCAATGAGGGGGCTAAGACTGGTTAGTAGGAAAGCTTCATATGGCGCGGCGCATAGCATACCTGGACAACGATAATAGCTTGCGAAACCAAACTCCTCAAACACCACCTGGTCGCAATTAGTCTGAAGCTGTGGCAAGGCGTTTGGTGCTTCGGTGAGGATCAGCCCTGTTTCGGAGGGGTCGCATTTTAGAGCCGCCTTTTGGTCGAAGAATTCATGTTCCCATATCTCCTTCTCCGCCTCCCAGTTGACAAGATATCCCCTCTCCACCGGACGGCGAAAAATCATCTCGTTGAAGTCGTCGCATCTCGAAAGTTGTGAGCCAATGTATACCTTCTTATCGCGGTCTCGAGCCAGACAGTTTGGAATGATGGATGGGAGCGGAAGAGCAGTCTGGGGCGTCTGGGAATCGTCAGAGGGAGCAGGAGGAGGATCCGCGAAAGCTGGAGAGGAGAAGCCAGCTTTGATGGTGTGACCGCCATTATCAATGACCAACGTACGACGGGGCGGAGACGAAAGATCTTGCGTACTCTTCCGTGGAGCCATGGCGGGGTGGCAGGTACCTAGGTATTGGATGTGCTGGTGGTGGAGTCTTGTTTGACGATCAATTATATTTTCTGGGGGACGCGACGAAGATGGCTTCGCGTTTCGCCTCGGCTGATTGACGGTGATGTGCCTGCGACATCAAAGATATTTTTTTGGCCCAGCTCATCGTCAACCCCGCCACATCTACGACTCGATGCCAACGAATTCTGCCCACGACAGTATGGCAGCCACTTCTGACAAGGCAGCTCAAAATATTGCTCTCTTGGATGCGACAGTCGAATCCACCTCCGACCTGATTACCCAACTTCTGTCTTCCTTTCCCACCCTTGAATCCACGAATCTCAATGCCACCAACTCCGAGACGAAAGAAAAAGACAATCAAGCCGTCAAAGACCAGGAGAGGAACACCGTCGATGCCTTGCAATTGTCGCGCGACTCGGCGAGCTTGATCAGAGCGCATTCCACAAAGCTGTCTCTTCTGATCATCAGTGAACCTTTCACCCCCTCTGCCATCACCACAATACTGCGAGAACTCGTCGCAGGGCCATTACCAGGTCTTGCATCGGCGGTTCAACTTTGCAATGCATCGAAATACACAAAGGCCATGAGCAACGAGCTTCATTGGAGGGCGAAGAATGTTTTCACCGAGCTGCGCACTCTGGTGCAAGCCATCCCTCGAGATGGAAAGGTCCTTTCGACTGATCAGAAAAATGGGACTGGAGATACGACGGGGAAAGGAAGCTTGTCGGCGACTGGTGTGGTATGGGAAGCATGCGACGCGCTGTTAGGGCTCCACGACCTGGGCGTCGCAGGGTTGATCATTAAGAAGACGGAGGAATACAGGGACCTGGTCAAAGATGCGCTCGAGGAGCTACAGGAATGGGGTGAGGAACACTCGGACGAAGAGGATGATGAGGGTTCCATTGCTGCTGTAGAAAGCGACGACGGCGTCGACATGTCTGCCCAAAATGCTCTGGACGACATGTTTGGCTCTCAGCGACATATCCCCACGGACGATCCAGATAAGATCAGACCTCGACTCGAATCGTGTAACAAGCGTCTTCGAATGATCGTCCTTATGTACCAAGCTGTAACCAAGCGGAGGCTGAAGACATTGCCCACACTCCCCCATCCGCAACTTCCTGCCGAATTGGTGGCCAAGTCAAACGAGGATCCTGGCATTGCTAACTGCTTGGATGAAATTCTGGGAGTTCTGAAGAAAATACCTGATGTTACTGATGAGCTGGCAAGTGCGTTCTATGATCTTGACGGTGAAGAGATTGACAAAAGAATGGATCAATGTTTCTTCACAGCTTTCGCTGCTGTGGAACTGTTGATAAAAAACTGGGAAGGCGAACAAGACGAATTTACCATATGGGTAAGTATATGACGACTCGATGAACATCTACTGATAGCTAATATGAGACAGGCGAGAAAATTTCAGCTGGCGATGAAGAAAGGGTGGTAGCACGAAAAACATAACCAGACTGACTGTGCTCTTCTTGGATATCGGACATCTGTAAGGAGGTAGACTACCTCGTAGCACATTTGAAAGTCTCGAGAAGAGGATCTAATAGATAACAGTCAGAGCAATCTTCATGTCGTGCCAACTACTCGAGTCAACGGTCTGCAGATGTGGAATGGCGTCACCCATTCGGCATTACCAATTACTCAGTAAAGAACGAGATAACTCTATCGGAAGTTTTGTTGCAATCATAATTTTGAACTCGGTTTTCTATAACATATACTGCTAGTGATTGTCTCGTCACAGTGGAGCAGGTTCTGTACAGAAGGAGAACTACGGAAAAGCATTCACATCGGCTGGAACGAGCTGACGACCAATCTGGCTTTTATCCATGAGATCTTGGTCCGCTCGACCCAGCAGAACTTGTCTCTGGACTTGTTCCGGCTTCATTTCAGTCGAAAATCCAAACTCCTCGCCCAATTCCTTGAGCTTGTCATCCAGTTTGAGGCGTGTCAACACCTGGCCCAGGCCCCGAACGGCCGAATCCAATGCGCCCACAATCCAAGCATGGTTTGCGGAAGCGTGCTCACCAACAATGACAAACCGACTATCGGCCGCTGGTCTCACGAGGTAAGGGACCAAGGTACTGAATTGTCCTGGAGCGAAAAGTGCAAAGGCACCCGCTGCATGTGGATCTTTCGACCAGTCGTAGGCCTGTATTATCCGTGTCAGTGTTGTATAAAATTCAAAGTAGGTTTGGACTTACATGGTGACATTCATACAGATCAGTAATATACTTCAAATTATATTGATATCGCTCATCATAGTTTTCTGCCGGTTCGCTGAGGGTATGAAGTCGTGCGAGATTATACATCATTAGTCGAATAAGGTCGTCCTCATTTTCTGGAGAAGTCGACGAAATATGCGATGCCACTCTTTCTGCGTCTTGACCCCACTGTTCATTATTAGCACCTCACTCGTAGCTTAATATTATTATATCTAACCGTGTATGATGCGAGCAGAACTCCAGGCTTCTGAGCATCCTCCTCTGCGTTATCCGAAATGTTGTACGATGGGTAGACGCTAATATGGTTAGCTTGGGCTGGTCTAACAAACGCTTATTAGGCAAGGACTTCCTACCACACTCGTAGAGGCATGTCAGTTTTAGCTACTCCGCCTTTAATAGCACGACCTGGAAGGAAGTCGGCATCTCTCCACCACATCTTCTTGAATTTGATCCCAACTTTTGTCGAGCTATCATAACGCAGAACACGGATTGCAGTCTTCATGCCATATGGAAGGGCAAGATCGGTAAGATCAATTTTCTGCAAAGCGCCCAAAGTTGTGGTGTTGATCACAGCAGAGTACTCGGCAGATTCGGCCTTGACTTTGTCGGCATCAAGTGTGGTTTTGAGATCCTTGATATTATACTCAACCTTCATACCTGTTCCTTGGTCTGTTGTCTTGTCTTTGAGAAGGGAGACTTTTGTGACCCAGTGGTTTTTCTTGATTTTCGATTCCAATCCTTTGGTTTTTGCGAGCATTGCATCAATGACTTTGCTTGTCCCACCTAAAACACAGTACCAATCCGTCTTGGTTTCACCGGCCACCGAAGGATTGTCAAAGTCGAATGCAAGCGATTCGAGTACATTTTCTGAGAATGCTTCATTGAACCAACCAGAGGCACTGTGAATACGATTAGCAATACTGCTGGTGGACTGACATGACGTTCCGAATTACCTATCCGTCGTCTCGAGCCAATGTACAGTTTCCGCATCGTAACCTCTGTTAATTTGGTTAGTATGGAAAAGAGCACAAGCTCAGAAAACCTACTCGACGTTCATGAGGTAGTCTCTCATGGAGTACTTATCATGTCTCATAAGATAATCAAATGCCCACTCCAGCTGAGATTGAGCGTCCTTTATCTCCTGCTCGTTTTTCGTAGCCTCCGCCGCCTGAACAGCTTTTACACCGTCCTTGATCTTTTGTCGAAAACGGTCGTACGCGTCACTCGTAATCTGTTTTCCTGCTTCTGCTGAAACACGACTACATTGTCAGCATACATATATACGAACGCCAATTCCTGATTACCTGATTGGAACTGGACCGCCATTAGCAGTGCTGACTCGGAATGGATCCTTGTCAGATTTTGACTTCACGCCTGGACCACATAGGGTGACATATTCCGTGCTCTTATTCTCATTCTTCGTTGCTATGGCGGTAATGTCGTTATAGCGTATAGGACAATTCTCCCTTATATTGTTAGACTAGTTAGGTATGAATACTCGAATTCTAAGACTAACCCCTCCATGATGTATTGAATCAATCGTGCCTCCGCACTAGCTTCGTTTGGGGCTTTGGATGTGACAATATCCATTCTCTTGAAAAGATCGAATGTTCTTCCAACAATTAGCTATTGCGCTCACACTCTGGTCACCATATCTACCTAGTCATCACAGGAGTGTCAGGAAACCTCATGGCGCCAATGTCGTAATATGAACGTTCATCATCATCGCCAGGAAACTTGTGGGTGTAAACCCTACCACCAATGCGATCTGCGGCTTCTAAGATCTCATAATCAAGTCCAAGGTGTTCAAGAATAAGTCCTGTGTACAAGCCCGATATACCAGCACCAATAATGCCAATCTTGACTGGTCGCAGATCCTGGGTGTAGTTACCGAGCTCTTTTATTTTCTTCTCGATCTCTGCTGTTTTTCCATTCTGGGTTGTAGTGTCTGTCTTGGGAGATGGCACGCCTATGGGTATCTTGGGCAAGAGCTGCTCAAGTCGTTGATAATCCAGTTCAGAAGCACGCTTCACCAGGTAGGAGAGATACTTCGCCTTGTAAGGAGCATAGAACTCGGAATCAGAGGCAGTGGCAGACATTTTGAGAGTACTATAATTTTGATAAAAGCTTCCAGATGGATTATGAGGATAATCCAATGCGCTCGAGTCGCCCTTTTCAAGCATTGGCGTTCATTATTCTATCACATGTGCTGAAAGTCTGATGCAGCATTCCGTCCGAATCCGTCCAAAGTTCTGAAGAGATCGACTCACGCATGCAGTCTAACTTTCTCCTGTGACATATCAAATCGACTCTGCATTACTCATTGCCAAAAGTAGGTTTCAGCCAGCCTGAACGAGCCTCAACCAGCATATTGCGAGGAGTGTTCATGCGCGGGATTGATAAGCGGGGCGGGCCGCAGCATGGGGTTTCTCTTTTGATCAAGATCTCCATGTAGCAGCTCGCTTCATGGAAAAGGGGCGTTGCTGAAATGTCGCATACGGCTAGTCTCGACACAGCCCACAAGCACGTGCAACAACTCACAGATGACTTCTTATTATTGTCAAAAGAACGTTTCTAATCACTTGAAACCATTCCTCATCCATTAGAAGTAGCTACATTGACCCATAAATCGGTGCTTGTCATGTAGCTAATCGGCTTACTGATTGATGGCAACTACTCCGAGTTAGTCATGCTATAAGCTACAGTGCTACACTTCAACTTAAACCCTAGTATTTACAAGAAATTTTAGTTTTGCATAGAATAAACGAAATACTTGCAAGAGTTGTCAATTTAGGCAATGTTATTTGATCTTCGGTATCATTGGCCGATAATAAACGAATCAATATCAATATTGGCGAGTGAAACATTGCAGATTCGATAGTTCGGGAAGCTGCTATTTCCGCGCATGTGGCGCCGTAGGGGCAGCCTGAGATACGAGCCGAGACGGTCAAACGCACTCATGTTGCCTTTGGAAACAATAAATCTTTAGGTGCGAGCGGGAAAGGAGCATTTTAGTGGATATGGCTAGTGCGCCTAGATTTTCTACAGCCATGTACTTGAAAAGTCCCTGAATCAATCAGTCGCCTACCCATGTAGTTGGTAATTCACCTGCAGCTTCCCGTTTCCGGACGTTGTTTTGCCGCAACAAATGTTAGCTAGCTCGAGCGGGGAATCAGGTTCCAAAAGGTGTGATGTAATAAATTGTAGTTTTCAATTTTAGAACTACAAAATTGTGTTCATATACAAGACAGTTGGGAACTTCAAGGTCTTCCTGAGGAGCTGATCGCATGGCAATTGTGTGGGTGTACGGACCTGCGGGATTGGCCCCAAGACAACGAGCTGCGAATGAGTTTGAATCTCTCTATATGAGTGCTTCTCTTCTCCTAGTGCCGCTGTAATTTGCATTGGATCTTCTGGGAACATTAGTCCTGCGTAAGAAAACAGTCGTGATTTTTGTTCAAGTAATACGGACTAGCTGCAATAGCCCCTTGGGTCTTGATAGTTCCAGTTCTAAAGTAGCCCGTCATACGTGGAATTTTGTTACATGCCAAATACACATCTCAAATTCTCAATAGAGGCTGGATCACTTGCCCATTAGAAGCAGTGCTGGTCTTATTTTTGGAAAGCAATTTATTTTGACCCTTCCAAAAAGAGCGGGACACCAGCGATTCGCAGTTGCAGATGCGGAGAAAGAGCGGTCTAAACCACAGGCCTTTCTATGTCTTGCCGGTACCTAGACTTGGCTTAGAATCCTTGCTTGGCTGAAGCTTCCCTCAAAAAGTTCTACATCCTCAGACGAAGCGCACTTGACCAGGGGAAATTTGAGGGATCTAGAACCTTAGTACAGAACACAAGCAGTTGCGATAGGGTCTGTTGCCAGTACTGGCCACCCGATGGCGTGGCTTTTATAACAACGATATAAGACATGCCTTCACTCGATGTTCAAACCAAAACGGCCTTCTCAATCTAACACTCAAATCACTGTGTATAAGCTTCTGTACTTTGACACCTCATAAAACAATTCCTACAGCAATATGTATGTCCTTCAGGTAAGTCTGAGCTTCGTTTGATATATACTCAAGGGATTTAGCTCTCAATACATCGAAGTTGAGGAACCGCTCCTTCTACCCTTTTTGAAAGAATATCTGCCTTTTGCTTGAAGAATGGGTTGACATGTAGATTCTCTGTCTAACACCACAACAGATCACACTCCCAAGTCCGCATGTTGCACTTCGATATGCCGATCCAAATAAAATTCATCCAAACTTTGATTACAAAGATCTTCAAATGTGGACTCCTGAGATCGTAACGCCCGTGACCATACCGGTTGGAAGTCAGCACAATCTACTGACCGTTCAGGTCACAAGTGGCAATTACATATTCCCAGGTGATGAGCAGTGGAGCATTACTGGATCTATTGCTGGCTCTTCCATCAGCTTTGCTTCTCAATCTTTTGTGGCGGGGGAAGACAGTACTACTTTCACTGTTGAGATAACTCCGGTGTCTCTTGTTGTGCCTTGGGGCATTGACGCCCCGATCTCCTGGACACTTAACCTCAACGGCATAGCCCATGTTGATTTTGCGAATCAGACTAGACTTAAAATTTTCGCGATCACTAAAGATATAGCACCTTACTACAAAACGGAAAGAATTCCGGTTGAGTTTCTTGAACTCTTGGTTCTTCCCACCTTGGCGGCTAATATCTCATCACTTCGCGACTGGCAACAATGGGTGACCAACAAGTGCTTTGGCTCAACTTATGACAAAGAGTTCCAGGGTAAGATCGTTGAGACTTACAAGGACTTTACATGTATTCATTCTTACCGATATGATACGTACCATGGCGGTCAATCTTTCATTTACGGCGGTTACCAGACCATCTTCGATCTCGATTCTTGGATTCAAAAACGTGGAAAACGAGATAATGGTCATTTCGCAAAGGTCAATTGTTACGATCAGTCTGGTCTTCTTCAAGCTGCTCTCGCCCTTGGGACACCATTTACGCTTGTCGACTCGAGCGGTAGTCCTGTTCTGGAGGATGGCAAAAAGCAGCAGAGCTTTGGAAGACTTTGGAAAAGCCCTTTCGGCTTCATTCCAACCGCTGATTTAATAGGTTGGGGATCGTGCGATAGCCCGTTCTTCCAAGAAGGGCAGAAAACTCAACTCTTCGGTACACAAGGAGAGACGGATCCCGTTGCTAAAGGTCGGACGCTATTTGCAAATCACTCTTATACATATGTTCGTTCCACAGACGGAAAAGCAGACTATTTAGTCTTGGACGCCTGTGCTGGTCCTGCCGACCAATTGACAGGCCGGGAAACGTACGGACGAGAGCATATTGATCTCATTGCTACCTTCAACGCAGCTAATTTGCTGGCTTATGTAAATTTGCCAGACCATGCAAAATGGAGTGATGCTGATAAGAAACGATGGACTGATTACACAATACAACATGCTGGGGACGCAAAACCCTACAATGGTATCATTAGCACCGTCTCTCAACCTGTCATTCCCAAACATATTGGCACGCCAATATCCCAGAAGTTGCTCGAACTTTTTCCTGGCCTCAAAGGCCCTTCAAGCGATTCGGCGAAACAGACATTGTGCATCCCTGTTTCCCCGGAAGAGTTGTTAGATGGGATCATTGGTAAGCCGTCACCTCAACCTCATTGCATCCAGCGTCTTGGTACTGAAAAAGTGACAAGACAGTATTCCAGGTTACAAAGGCAACGAAAAGAATTTCGAGGTGGAGCGACCGGATCCCAGTATTGGCGCGGACGGAACATCTTTCGACGTTGATATCTACAATAATAACCAACCTGGCACAGCTTACGTTTCAATCAGCATCGACATCCTTACTGATTTCGCCAATGCTGCAATATGGGCCGCAGAGTACTTGGATACCTTTGATCATCCATTGAGTGGGGTGTATGACATAAACAGCCAACAGTCAGGCAGCAATCGCTTTTTGCTGCCTCCCAAATCTACTCGTGGAGAGTCGCTCCTAGTGCTTGAGAATATTCTCGTAACGTGGGTGCCATTCTCCATTTATTCAATGCGGGCTATAAATAACCATGGACTGCTCAGCACGGTTCTAACATTTACTGACATTAATTATCTATAGGCTTTCAGGGACATGTGGCAGCGGGGTTATTTCCAATTTCATGACGGAAATTGAGAGTAAACTTCAAGCTGTGACGAAGATAAACCAACCAGAAAGTTGGGATGATCATACTGTCGCTTTCAATAATCCAGTACAGATTGGAAGCAAGTTTGAAGTCAAGATTACAGCATCCGGAATGGCAGATATCGATGTTCAATGGGAGAAAGGGGTCAGTCCAATCCTCATTATTTCCGATATCACATATGTGCAAATTGATTCCAGATTACTAAAAGATCTGCAGTATGTTATTTCTCTTCAGGATCCAACTCGAGATCCGAATGATAGCTCGATTTGGACAATGCAATGTCTCGCGCAGGGATCGACGGACGCGGCGCCAGGTGACCTTCAAGACAGTTTACATGTCAGCTACGCTCATCTTTCAACCTACTACACAATGAGTAGAGACTACCCAATTACAATAAAAGCTTCATCTGGTCAATGAATATTGCGCGGAGCAAGGAATCCTAACAGGGATTTTGGCATGACAGAATTCCGAAGATTATAACAAATCAAGTCAAATTTGTTACACAGTATTGTCAAGTGTAAACTCTACGTCGCATGTCAACCCATACTATGCATTCTACATATATTTACTTAGAGAGGAAAATTTGAAGTCTTTACTAATGCCGTTAATAATAAGTCATGCCCTCGACTTACTTTGCATTTTGAGTAGACTGTTCCTTGCATAGTAGTTGTTAATTCCCGTACAGCCTCTTTTGGGAAAATGACGCTGTAAAAGTCATCTTTTATGATTGTTGTTAATATATTTGCTAATGTATAGCAGGAAAAGCTTTTGTAAGCATACTTCTCGAGATTTTATACCTGTAGTGCACCGGTACAATCGATGTTCATGTTGCACTTCACTCTTATTTAAACCATGGACTAGGCAAAAAAACAATTCTTTTTCTGCTGTAGCTTAACTCCATACCACTTGTTCCCTATTCGGTAGTTTTTCAACTCGCAGTCTACGGCCTCTCGTTGATTTCCGCGCGTAACGCCGAGACCTTAGCATAGGGCACACTTTCGACAAAATAAACAGCGTTTGTGATTTTTCTGTGATCGAAATAGTTAGGACTAAAAGAGTTTCTAGCTAGTTATTGGCTGTGGTAGATAAGAACAATGAATGAGAAGGACTATAGATTGCATGCTGAGAACACCTTAAAAGTTTCTGATAAGACCTCAAAGAGCCACTTCTGTCAATATGAGACGATACGAATTCTGTGAACATAACAATGACTGGATGTACCCAGTTATACTGGGTGTGTATAACATATAATGTCACGAAGTTCAATAATTAGGTTTTATCTATGTTAAAGCATATCTCATCACCAAGCTGCCTCCTGGGGCCGACACTAACACCACCCCACGAGTCTCATCAGCTTGCGACTTCGTTATCTTTCTGTCCCCACCGATTTCTCCAACCTAATCTAAATCAAATACACTTTGACACCAATACAATCCGTCCCCTTGCTTCTGAGTAATTTGCCCCCTTCGTTCTACATACCTTCTGCTGACTGAACCCTATCATTAATGACCTGACATGCCTCTTGAGACCCCTTAGATTCCAATTGTCGTTTGCGGTCCACCGAAGTATGGAATGTCGATGGGAATGTCATATGGATCGCGCAGGCTGTAAGCATAATAATCGGTGGCTTTAAAGACACTCTCTGGCTTCACGTTCAAGTGAGTCTCGCCAGTACAATTCTTAAACTTAAGCCAATTCGACTTAATAGTACCATTTGGTCCAGCAACAATAGGGTCGTGAGCGTCCTCAAAGTAGGTGTTTTCCACCAAGAGTGAACTGGCACCCCGGGAGTAGATCCCATAGCCTGTGATATTTCGGTAGTAGTTGTTGTAGAGATGACCCATTTTGAGATTGTCGGCAGACGGACCACGGACATTGGTTGAGTTGAAGAAGCAGTCGTTGATGGTGACTTTACTAATGACATTCTGAGTCCATCCAATTCCGAATGCTTTGTTATGCTGGGAAATGATGGAGCGCGAAACAGTAACATAATCAGTATCCGCGCGAAGATCAATTAGACCATCTGCCATTTGAGAGAACTAAAGATCACGGTCAGCACACTCCTCCTCCCAAAAGCGTTCTTAGGTGTAGGAGATCTCCACGTACGTGAACATAATCAATCCAGATGTTAGTTGAATTGTCAATCTGGATCCCGTCAAAATCATCCCCTTTTCCTGGGTAGTCTTTCGGGTTGTATGTCCCAGACACACGAAGGTTACGGATGATGACATTTCTCTGTTTCTTGATACCAAAGCCGCCACCGTTGATACCCGAATCTGACCCAACTCCGATGATGGTTTTGTCGCTGGTGACCGGAACCTCGAAGCCCTTTGGATCGGCCTTTAATATGCCTTGGATGCGAATGATGAGAGGCTCGTTGGCAGCTGCGAACGTGACAAGGTCCTTGTACCTGGTGACAGTCACAACTTTGCCATCCAGTCCACCTTTGGTGCCCCCGTTGAGAGATGCAAAGCCATGGGCTGTCTCATTGCACTTGGCGCACCCTGCCACTGCAGCTGCGAGAACAGATGGGGACAGAAGGCTGGCCAGGAGAGTGGGAGTTGTGAAGCGCATTGTAGGCAGATATAAAGTGATTCAAAACTACAGAATAGGGGATGGCAATGACACATTTCCAAGGCCAGCTTCCCTTATCTTCTTATATAGCAGAGCCATGATCAGAAGAGATTGACCAGTCTTTGAACTTCACATCAGTAACGAGCATTTTTCGCCGTCACAAGGCCTATATTTCGCTCCCGAATTCAAATTTCATGAGTATAAAGTGCTCTCATGCTTACAAGTCTCCGCTCGACTCATTACACACTTGTCCACACTGGTGGAAAAACTTCTGATAAATAATTGAAGATAATCGCGAACCAAGGCATGGCAGGAAGCGTGAATTTCTGGGCCAAGATCTACCTGCACCCAGCCACAGAGTCTGCTCGCAATCGATGGGAGGTAAATGACATCTGTGTTTGAACTATTCCAAGGGCCAAGGCTATGTCTTAAATACTTGCAGGTACTCTCAGTAGGCTCATGGCATGATACGAGGTGGGGTGGAAGCGGGGAAGTGGGGATAATCTATAGAGGCTTCTATTCCGTAGCTGCTATTTGTGCCAGTGGAATGGTTAACACCTCTTGTCGTACTCGCATCTCTCCATCTCGCTTCAACAAGCGAGGGCACAGTGTGGTTGGCACTCTTATCCCCTGAAAATCAACACACTTTAACCGGCTTGGCCATCTTGTTTTGACTCCCCAAAAAGGAGAAGAACCTTCCCGGCTAAAGTCATCCAACGACACCCCATTTTCCATTGATCTACGATATATCTCTACATCTAGCAAAATCTCCAAGTCTTAGCAGTCGTGAAGCAAAGTGAGTCTGAACTTTCAGAACTCTGGGCGAACGTTCCTGGTCAATTTTTTCCGCCAATGACCCAGACGGATTCTGGTTTGCGAAGAGATCCAGCAGAATGAGTCTCATACTTAAGCCAAAGCATGGGACCTATCTTAACTTGTTTTGTAATTCCACTTGACAGTGAACTTCGAAATACCGCGCGATTGCAAAATTTGTTATAAGAACACTGCAAATATACCGCAACTATCATCATGCTGTCCAAAAATGCCTACCTCTGGTATTCTTGTATGGTCATTGCCAACACCATGATCTTATAGTAAGTGAAGCAGGGGTGATGGTTTATCCACTCTAGGTTGTCTTTCTCGGGTCGGGGGGCAGGAAAAGCTGCATCGACCCACCTAAACAAGGCGACTGCTAACTCCGGGTCCCTCCCTAGTGGCTACGATTCCTCTACTTTCAACGCTGTTCAAGGATCCAAGAACTGGCAGAAGTATTTCCATGAACCGGATCCAAATGTCATTGGCAGCGTCAACACAGCCTATACAGTTGGTGGGATTGTAGCTGGTTAGCTTTCACACATTCCTTTCAACGTATCTGCTTAGATGTGATGTTGAACTTCTGTTAACTTTCTAAAGGACTTTTTTTCTCCGCACCCATCTCCGATCGATGGGGTCGGAAGATCGCAATCATTGTGGGGTGCTTGGTTGTCATTATCGCTACCTTTGTTTCAACCTTTACGCCACGCCACATCGGTGGTTATATTGGAGGCCGTGCTCTTGTAGGAAGTATGTATTGGCTCCATAGATAATCCCCTCGAAGGGTGTCTCAAGCCTATAGAAAATGGCTAACCAAGTTTCCTCCAGTTGGACAAGGAATTGCACTTCCTGCAGGCCCAGTATACATCAGCGAGCTTGCCCCTTCCACAACAAGAGGCAAAATCATGAGTTTCTGGCAGATGAACTTCAGCGTCGGAAGTTTTATGGCCTATTGGGTAAGTTGTCAACGATTTGTATAGAATGTCAATGCTGACTGGCCTAATGATCAACTTTGCTTGCACCAAGTCAGCAGCGAGATTGGGAGATTGGGACTGGAAAACTGTTATGATCTGCCAGTGAGTTCCCACTGTTCTTACCTAGGTTTGAGACCTCGGTTCGTTGTCAAAACCATGGGGTTATATTTCGCTTTGCTGACTGAATTCTCTTTGTAGGCTGTAAGTTTCTACCGTACGAAAATCGCTTCATAGGGTTGAACAACCTGAAGCCTCTCGGAAGGCTTACTCGATAACTACAATACTATTTGAGACTGACAATTGAATTTAGCATTGCGCCAGTTCTCATTATTGCAAACATCTGGCACGTTCCTGAATCCCCGAGATGGTTAGTGAATCTTTTCTGTATTTTCTGTATTTGAAAGCACTTTTGCCTGCAACGTGTGATGTTCTGACACAACAATCAGGCTTGTCCAGAAGGATAGAACAGAAGACGCGCTTGCTGCTCTTCAAAGATTGCGTGATTCGCCTGAAGACATTGAGTTTGAAATGCAAGAGATGCATCATGCTATGGCGTTTGAAAAAGAGGCAATCTCCGGTGCCTACATGCCTCTGTGGACAGACAAGACTGTACGATACAGACTCAGTATGGCAACTGTATCCCATTACTCGTTGACATAATGTTCTAACATTTATTCTAGTGCTCGCAATCGTTCTCAACGTTGGACAGCAACTGACTGGACAGGGCTCCCTGAACAGTAGGTTTTATACATTCGTCGAACCTGCACGCGGCTAATCATTGCAGACTACTCTACAATTATTTACAAGAAGGTCTTTTCAGATAACTCGCAGATCCAGTTGATCAATGCGCTTAACGGTACCTTTGGCATTCTGTTCACACTCAACGCAACTTGGACAGTGGATCGATTCGGTCGACGCTTCCTTTTCCTTGTAGGAGCCGCCGGAATGGCAGTGAGCATGCTTGTAGCTGCTGCAGTCGTAACTGAAACTCCAGAGTAGGTGATAATTCTTTTCAACCTTCCGCCGTTCTATTCAATATGTTGAGGAGATGTCTACCGATCGAAGACGTATTGGCCGGGATTTGGTCATGGTGCCGCCTCTTCCCTAGTGCCAGCAATGCTAATTCTGAAACTACCAGGTATGCAGGAGGAGCAAAATCGCGATCAGTTGGAATCACTACGGTGTTTCTCATGTTTTTGTTTGCATTCTTCTGTGGGTTGGCCGCCGGTATCACCACCGAAGTCAGCTAACGATGTGTAGTCAAACCCTCTTGGGGTGCGGTTACATGGATATGGATTGGAGAGGTTTTCTCCATGAACGTCAGGTCACAAGCCGTAGCCATCTCTGCTCAATCTCAGAATGTTGCCAACGCCGTTCTTCGTAAGCAGAACTGCCAAGAGTAGATTATTGATCTATACTAATGTTATCCAGAACAAGTATTCCCGCTGTTTTTGGCCAAGAAAGGATTGTAAGTTCCAGTATCTAATTTTTCTTCCAATATTACTAACATCTACACGCAGCTACGCTATGTACTTATTTTTTGGAATTAATATTGTGCTATTTGTCTTCGTTTGGTATATGATCCCTGAAACCAAAAACAAAACACTCGAAACGATGGATGTACTCTTCGGCGGGGTCAACCACGCTGACAAGGGCGTTATGATGGAGGAGGACGGAAAGGTTCAAGAACTCACCGAGAACATTGAACTTGTAGAATCACGCAAGAGCCATGACGCTGAACAGATTAAGCAAGCCGGAGCAACTAAGGAGATCAAGGTGTAAAGCTGCGACTCGGTATAACTAAATGGTATCGGCGTATCTCAACAGGTGCATAGTTTGGTACATGCCAAGGTCTGATTTTCAAGCTGTTCAAATAAGATAGCTAGCCTTCACCAAAGCCTTCGATAGGCATTAGAGATAGCAAGATACAATTTAAGCAACGAAGACAAATAAAAGTGATGATATAGTCTAGAAATGGGCACATGTAGTTTTGTCTAATTATAAAACCCGCATGCTGGATGGGTCGATAGAATAAACAAAAAGGTAATAGCATTTTGCCATCTTATATTAAACTAGTTCGGGACACAATGACAATGTTAAATAGGACTGAGAAATGATATGTGTATTTCTATACACATTTGAATCATGTAAGAATCTTTGGGGAAGCAATGTATTTGGGATTCCCGTAGCCAATCCATTTATCAACCCCTTGGAGTTTCCATTTCACCCTTATTTCCGTCTCCATGTCAGGCTGCTAGGATGCTTGGTCGTTGGTTAATAGATCTTGCGATTCGCAAGCCTATCACACAATCAATTTTCATGTAACCTCGTGAAAACATATACATAGACAACCAATAAGGTCTCGTCTAACTCCCTAGTTTGCATAAATTGAGTTCTAGCTTTTACTATATTACCATTAAGTGTGAGTTCGCAAAAGGAATTCCAGTGTGGCTGTCAAGAACTCCAAACATCTGAGCTCTTCATTTTGTTTCCTAGTCCACCCGGCGTCATTGCCGTTCGGTTACTCCTTCCAGAGTGTTGTCAGAGTAAAACGAGCTCGTGGACAAGGAGTTCGCTAAGCTGCAAATCCCGACAACCTAGGGATTTACGGAGTGGGTGGGCGTGCGCTGACAAAGTACTCTGGCAAGGGCTGACATTATAGTATAACCTCCAATGGTCTTAGTTCTAATCAATACTGCGCTAGTAAAGCCTGAGTTTGGTAGTTCAACGAGGTCAAGGAAATTCTTAAGCCAGTCGAAGAGAATAGTTATGGGTGATAATGTCAGCTTTGTTGCCTTCTTTGATCCCTCTCCAAATATGCTGCTCCCGCTCAGCGTAACTCTGATCTGCAATTTGTTTTTTCGTCATGATCCAAATCAAAAAATCAGTTTGAAACCAAGACTCCCAGCTGCCGTCCTGGGTGTAAGCTTCCACGGTTGTAGAATAATTATTTTGCACGAGAGAGAAGGCGAGCTCGATTGCGGTGCTTGAGATTTATGAAGTAAGCAAGAGTATGGATCATATGGTAGTATACTCACGGGGGAAAATCATCCATCTTGCTTGATAATGGTAGTGATTGATCTGTGGACAGGATATTTGGGCGAGGTGATTGTGTGCGCGTATGTGTGAGAGCTCGGTTCCGGGTTTGAATTGAAATCCAAAACAACGTATCCGAAGGGAACTTGCTCATTAACCATAAAAATATAGATGATAAGGTAGCAATTAGTAGTCATAGGAGTACATTTATATCACTTAGACCATGCCAGTATCAAGACGTCTCCCAGCAAGAGTAGATAAGAATTCCAGATACGAAGCAAAACTTTGAGCTGTTGACATCAAGCCATTTATTCTATGACCTACACCCGGTAACCAGTAGTGCAACTATGAGATAGCTCAATATTATGTAAAAAGTCCGCAAAGAAAGTCCGACCAGCAGTACAATCATGTATGGTCTAGTGGATCTCCCAGCATGGTTAACCTTAGCGCAATCAGAATATTGATGGAGGCTAGGCACATGAAATTTGATGGGGCTCGTCAAATTATCAACTTCTGTATAAAGTCTCCTAGTTGGCCGACCTCTCGGGGTGGGGCTAAAGGTACAGGAGAACGAATCGACCAGATATTGATTTGGGACTGACTTCAACTGGCGCCAATGATGTACACAATAGCTTTTAATCTTTGATCGCCTCAGAGAATGCATTGATCTGCACTGCAATGCTTATCTCAGCTCATTGTTCCGCGCCTTTTCCTGTCTACTCGCTTACTCGCACCTGATACGAGTGAGGTTATATAGTGGGGGTGACATGACGGGACTTTTTGTTGCATAAGGTGGTGAAAAAGACAATAACCTTGCCATTTCTGGCTTCCAGCTTTCAGCTGACACCAAGGTTTGGATGCTCGAAAGTGAGGAAGCGGATTGCGTTTGGATAATAATTGTGATCATAGGAAGTTTCCTAGAGAAAGCTGACACACTCTCCCCGAGCGTGGAAATGTAACTGCAATTCCAGAATTTTCGACGGAAGAGGGAATCATCACAGCATCCGCAACTGTATACACGTATTCATCACTTGAGTAGTGACCTAAAGCTTTGCTAAATCACTGATACACGAGTACATACCCAGAGGAACTTTTAGCCCATGGCCACTGGAGCCTGCGTGTGGACGACGTGAAATGCAGCGGGACATCTTGAAAAAGAACAATAATCGAGTGGAGTTCACACATGTTCAATAGACAATTGCGGAATGAATCGACTTCATCATATGTACAGTAGTATTCGAATCGTATGTACATGTTTCAAAAAAGACGAAGTCCAGACAATGTTTGAAATGTCATGGAAAACGACTGGAAATTTATCAACAGGTCTTTGCCCCAGTTTTCGCAACGGGTGTGGTGTATGCTCCATTCGGGTCACCAAGACATTCTGCTACAGTTACCATGTTCAATCCCTTACCTATGAGAAATAATTAGCGACATTACCTATAATCCCAAAATCGCCTAAGATGTATAAAATGCAAAAGGAGGGTGTCCCAGAGAGTAAAGTAAACGGGAACAGGTGACTAGCAACACATACCTTTCGCCCACTTGATAACCGACGGTAAAAGAGTTGTAGACGTGGTAGGAATAGTCTCGTGCATCAAAGGAATATGCGACCCTGCACCGGAAGATGTAAACTTCTGTAGGGAAGACGCTGGTGTTTGCTTGTTCCAATCTCCCGAATCAATATCCCACTTGACAATTCTATAACCCAAGCTCTTCAAAACACTGACAGCCTGTCCCCCAGAGTTCCCATTTGGTGGCCGCATGTAGGTCGGCTTGACGCCCAAGATATTTGCAAAGGCAGTCTCCAACTTGGTCATCTCAAGCTTGACATCAGCGGCAGACTTTGTCGAAAGATCGGCGTGAGACCAGGTGTGAGATCCAATTTGATGACCCGCGTTGAATGTAGCATTTAGCTGGGCCGCTTGAGAGTATATGCAGTTGTATAGAGTGCCGGTGACAAAGAATGTCCCCTTCACACCGGCAGCGTTGAGAGTGGCGACGATGTCTTTCTCATATTGCCATGGCCCGTCGTCGAAAGTCAACTGAATTGCATGTTAGGATTGACTTTTTGACACTCCCATTCTCTATAACTCACAGCAATTGTATTTGGCGCTACACAAGACGAGATAATATTACCAGCAGCCGGGCCGTCTCTTTCAGTCAAACCCTGTGGGTGCGCGGAAGTGAGAGGGAGTGCCAGAACGAAAAGTGAAATAAGTGAATGCATGTTGGATGTTAGCTGCCACCTATCTTGAATACTCTTCCCAGCATTCGGAGAGCACAGGGTCCCGCTGTACTTATAAGTTGTTGACGGATGATACATGCTGAGGATCAAGTCTCACATCCAGAGCCATTAATCCGAATGCTTTTATCCGCAAGAATATAATTATCCATCTCCAAAATGAGAGGCGCCAAGCCATCTTACAAGGAAAGCTTCAATTGATCCATCGACATAAATTACTTGAGCCGCCTCGGCGTTCAGTCACTGGGCGAGTAGAGCTTGTGATGTGAAGGAAATTACCAGGGCGGAAGCCTTTCACAGGCTGCCAACGTGTTGATGTACCCCACACATGGCTGGGAATGAGCCGCCTCGTACCAAGCCTATTGAGGCCAGGGAAACATGTCTCTATGATTTGCGGAGTTGGTGAAGCATACCCAGGCTAGGCAACTGGGAATTGAGATACGCAAAAATGGCCCCGAGTCCTTGCCATCTGCCAGTCTACTTTACCTTTCTCAGAATGCCACTTGACAAAGATAAGATTACATGAGTATCGTACTAGAACTTCGTATTTTGATTTCTAGATACCGAATCAATGAGTACTTCGCAGATTATGGGTATATGTCTTTAGGGGTTTTTAAGACCCTTCTTTGAATGCCAATCAAATGCAATAAGGAACTCCATCACTATGCATACCTAGTCTTCCCAAATTCCCACGACTCCACAAGTTTTCAGAACCACAACTGCAAACTCTAATGCTGGATTGCTGGCGCCCAATTTTGCAGCCATTGCCTAGCAGCGTCTAAATTCCCCGTTTGCGCCTCGAGTGCCGCAATGCACCATTCTAATTCATATACCTTCTCAGCTGCCATCAGCTCAGCAAACTTCCTCCGTTTCTGAGTGCCATCATCAACACAAAAGTACATGGATGACGAATGGTCATTGTAGTTATCCATTAGGGGCTTCACAATGGGCAAAGCTTGCTGTGTGGTGAGTGATTCCTTGCCTTCCTCTGTTTTAGATCTCGCAGTCTTGCAGTACGAGTTCTCACACCAGGACTTTCCGCACCCCTTTATCATCTGCGCAAGATATCTCCGCTCAACTCGTCGTTTCAATGCTTTGCCTTCGGGATCATACATGCTAACATATAACGGGCCGAAGCATATGCTGCAAAGACCAATATCGTTCCCCGGCCCTTGACCCATTCGACTTCCAGCCCCTATTTCACCGTTCTTTCCTACTCCATGGAGAGTGCGTGCACAATTGACGTTTCGGCATACTTCAGGCTTTAATTTGGAAGTCTTTTCCATTTCGTGATGTTTTAGGTGAGTCGCCATGTCGCGTAGACGTACAATCTTGGAGCAAAGATGACACTCCGTGGTTCTAGCTCCATCGGCCAGCTCATGTGCACTGAGCCCAGATATCAGGGATTCCGAGGAAGGATTGAAAGGGTCACCCTCCTGAGGAACCTCCAGATGACAAAACTGGCAGAGGATCAACTTTCCGGGACATGTAGAGGTCCGGTGAGACGCAAGATCCTTCAAATTCGGGGCTTCGTATTCGCAGTTTGGACATGCCCGAGGTGTGTGATGGACCTCATCATGTCGGGATTTGCTCGATGGTGTGTTACCGTGCGATGAATCGTGTTCGCAATGCCAATGATCCTGCCATTCTGGCGATCTTTTCTGGAAAACATTCGAACAGTGAGGGCACAAGACGTTGTTCCGCAGACAGAAATTTTCATGAAGCATCATGGTTCTCCTTGGGATCCACTGTCGGCAGTTTTTGCACTGTTGCTCATCAGGATTTCGCATCTCCTCGTCTTGGTCAATGATGATAGGATTCTCAGAAGATGAAACTGTGTCTGCATTCGCAGTCTGGCTTACGCGCAATGAGTATTGGTGGACTGCTGGTGTTTGTCCCACGGCAGTGGGCCTCGCATGCAGTGAAAACAGAAGAGCTTCCGCATCTTCTAGGATGACGTTCGATGGCTGAAGAGTAACTGACTTAATAGCATCTCCACTGAAGTCACCAAATATGTGCTCGTCTTCTCGAGGCTTGGCTCGCTGGCGGGTCGAGTACGGACTCAGAAACATGTCCACACTTTCACCGTCATCAACAGTCACTTCGACGGTGATGGGTAATGATCGATTCCATGAAGGTAATCGAAAGTCCACATCGTCTCCGTCAATTATCCGTCCCGTAGCGGCATCCCAAATGTCGATGTCGCCCCCGATAGAACTTCCTTCAGCGGACCCTGGAGCAGTCTGTGCTTTTGTCATTATCTGTTTGAGTGTTTCCCGCGCCTGTTCTTCATTCAAGGCCTCAATGTCCACCTCCAAATCTGTATCAACAACACATATGCCATCTCCGTTGGGCTCGAATTTGTCAATCAGAAAGCGAAACTCTTCCGATTTCGAGCCTCGAACAGTAAGAATTTCTCCATTTGTCAGAGTCGTATAGCTTTCCCGCATATGTCTCTCCAGCAATGATTTCCAATCTTCCGGATTATAGCCAGCTTCGAGTGGTCGAAGTCTCACATATGTTCCCCTTGGTAACTGCTTTGCATGCACCGTTATTCGTATAGCTTCATCGTCGGTCAAGTCTACCGGTTGCGACGGTGTTCCTGCTTCGCTTGAGTGACTCGATACAATCTTTGGTGTCGTTTCGGGGGCGGCAATCCCAAGCGCCGTGCAAAGAAACGGGCTGAGTTCAACTTCTCCTTCCTCTGCTGAAAACTCTCTTATGCCCGCGTAAACGATATTTCCATTCGCCGCATTGACCAGTCGGAATGTCAGTGGATGAGGGAGTTGCTGTTGTGTGTCGCGCCACTGCGAATGCTCAGCTCGCGCTGCCGCAAGAGAGTATGGATTGAAAGGGTCAAAATTGATATTTGAAGGCCGCGTCGAAGGCACAGTCAGGGTCGATGCAGCGAGAAGTTGCTCTAACGCAGATTGAGGGAGGCGTATTTTGTCACCGGGAAGGGATCTACTGCTCGAAGATGCTACCTTGAGGACCGCAGACCATGTCAAGGAGATATCGGGGTTGGAGCTCATGATATGGCGGGGGTTAAGGGCGATACGAAGGTAAGAAGGGTACTGCAAGAACTGTTGTGAACGACACGCATTGCCGGAATTATATAAACGAGAAATTTGGAAGAGGTCGATTCAGATGAAGCACGTAGCCGGCGACAGCGAAGGGGGTGTCTCGGTGTGAATGTTTGGTCAGGAATTCGAGAAGATGCCATCACCACTTTACCTCCAGTTGAGACTCGGCGATCGGCGATAACGATAAGAAGTTATTGAACTCCAGACCAAGCTTGCGATCATGTGATCGTCCTTGTCCAGAACAACACGTGATAGCTTTGATATGTTTCTCGACCAGATCGGGTTCACTTGTCGAAAGCAACATATCTCGACCGTCAATTAATACATATCCAGATTCCACTCTAACATCTCCCCAACTTCACTCGTAAGGCTATGGCCAATAGTGAACAAATCTGCCTTCTTCACCTTTTGTCCAACACTTTGGTCCTTTACCAAACGGTCCCCTACCTTCCACTTCACTCCATTCTAGCGCTTGGCGCAACTTCAAAGTCGTTTAGGTCACTTATTCACCATACACCTGGGGTGTTCAGGCATGTAGATCTCACGAACTTCAAGTCGACGCAGTTCAGCCTTGCGGCAATCGATCATGGTGGAGAAGTGTGGCGAAACGTGCAGATGGACGAGAATGTCACCGAAGACGAGTCATTTCACCTGCCAATAGCAATGGATTTATATTGACAGCTTTCAGTTTCTACGGGGGTCCTCTGATGGCTATCTTCAATGCTCTAAGCCGGATGGAAATCCTTCGAGACGTGCATACGCTTATTTTGGATGGACTATCAGTCACATCAGAATTGGTCCGGGAAATTATATGTGAAGAATCGTTCAATGTCCGCGTACTATCTATTCGAGAAGTACAAAATCTGAATGAACGGAAGCTCCAGCAAGCTCTACGATACTCGATTCGACCTAGTAGAGCTGCCAACACACCAAAGCTAGAGGCGCTTTACATATTCGGCCCCAGAGATGCACCATCAAGCCCTCGCATGAAAAGGCATCTCGCCCCAGGGTCTTCCACCATTGCTTCTCCTCAAACTCTAGCATCTCATGGTGGCGTTATGTCTTCTCGAGGTGCCCAGATCGGAGCCCAGTGGAACGAAATGTCCGAAAATGCCCTTGCTCATGACCTAGAAAAGTCGGGAGATAAATGGTATGAGAAGAGTGGAATACTATTCGCAAAGCCCATATCCTCTGAATGGGCGGATACTGTTCTTTCCTGCCAAGGCATCGTTAGCTTCGATGCAATTCTCTGCAACGGCCCTCGACACCACTCACGCGAGGCTTCCGCAAATGGACATAACGAAGGAAGCCCTATCCCACCATATCGGCGAGCATTAGCATATCTTCCACCGCGTTTGGCAACCTATTCTACGGGAGGCTGCTGTAAGTGTGGCTCTGCTCCAGAAGGCTTCTCACTGTATGGAAAGTCGTCCTTGGAGGCGTTACCTTTATTGGCTCCGCCACCGCTACATAATTCGTCGGCCAAGTCTGCAAAGGTGCCAACGATAAGAGGCAGTGAGATCAAGAAGCTTTTGGTCCGGTGTGTAGACTGCATTCGTGCTAGATATTGCGAGGGCTGCCATAAATGGTGGTGTGAAGACTGCTATGAGATTCCCGAAGTTGCAGTCACACCGGTCGAATCGTTACAGCCATGGGAGGCTGTTGGAAGTAACCTTGGCGGTCAACCCGAGAAGAATGTCAAGGTACATATGGGTCTCTGTGTTGAAAATTGTCTTGTTGCTGAGATGATGTCCGGCGCTGGAAGCAATGGCATGTGGGGTTGAATCACAACAACCTTGCAATAGAGTCCATGGCAATGCGAATTGTGAACTGTGGGCTGTGTTGGGTACAAATGCTAATTGAAGCTTTGTAGCCTCGAGTGCGGCGTTCGTGCTTCGAGTGCGGTCTCACTGTGAGTTGTTCAGAGAAATAGCTAAGATTCCAATCTGATTAATCCCCAAGTGCAGAACTTGCGAAGCGACAACCCAGCTCATGTGCAGAGTATGTGGAGGGGGTTATTGCACGATCCATAATGAGGGATCAACTTTAACTACTGCAGGTCGCCATGCAATCGATGGTTGTAGATGCTAATGCTGACAACAATGTTTTGTAGTGCGATTGTATGAATGCTCTGCTCAGCTGCGACTTTGGACTTATTTTTTATTCAGCTGACCATTTCTAGGGTGCACAAAAAGCGGCCGAAGAACAAGAGAGATGTACTGATTTGGTAATGGAAACCTTTGAAAGAACCTCTCTGGTTATCACCACGCCGGCGTACTACTTCTTTATATCAGTCATCACAGAATACTATGTTTTTCAAGACATCGTCTGTGTGGCATGCATCTGATGGTGTTGAATTCAGTGCCGAAACAGTACCTTACTTTCCTCTCCGTTGATCTTTGTTCGACAATCAGGTTCTCCTTATTTCTACTATAGATCGTGAACAGACATATATTATCGACATCTTCGCTGCGCCGGTTTGGTTAAATGGGCCCAATTATATTACATGAGTAAAATGAATCTTTGGTTCCCGGGTCTCTGTGTTTATTGGTTGTCATGCGAAATATCCTAATTTCCCCTATCTCGGGGCTGCAATTTTCATTAGTCCCAATATTTCTGAACAATTCAGATTTTCTTTGCTGGCTCTTCAATCTTTCAATCTTACAGAGCAACCCTCGCCAATCGTATTACCACACGGGGAGTGAAGTAATTAATCGAAGAGGATTACGTACTTTGAACTACCTACACTCTTGTATTTCAAATCACAAACAACTCTATTAGGTCTCTTGAGTTTACGTCCAATCTGAATTCTCGGGGGCCGGCAGAAATTGTTCTAAAAATAAGCATATAATATACGAGATTAAAGTGTAATAGAACCGGTAGCTGAGGTCCCGAGATCCTTGCCACTTGCCGGTGGGGAACCTAGAAAATCTTTACAGAGTACGAGCTCTGGATGACGTTGGGAAAGAACGAACACGAGCAATTGATCCGATGCATGAGCTGCTGAGGATGGCAAATTCTCCAAGCAAAATGTCGGACGTTTCCAAAAGTTAAGTTTTCTTCCATCCCCAATTCATCTTTCCCTCCATTCAATCGTTTATTCAGGCTGTACCAAAAAGTCATTAATTATTTCCTTCTCGTCACCCTATACATTCTTAATCCATTAATCATTCCTCTATCACAATGAAGACAGCTTCGTACATTCTCGCAGCAGCAGCGACCCTTACCGGAGTCGATGCTTACTGGAAGGGCTTCAATGTCCAAGCTACTCGAGCAGATGGGCAATGCAAGACCCAAGCCGACTGGGAAAGAGATTTCAATGCGATGAAAGGTCTCCCCGGCGGCTTCAGCAGCATGCGCGTCTATGCCTCGTCGGATTGCAATACACTCGCGAACGCGGTCCCGGCTGCTATCAATACTGGTGGGCAAATATTGGCCTCCGTTTGGACACAGGATGAAGGGCATTTCGAGCGAGAGAAACAGGCTCTGCTATCTGCAACTCAACAACACGGAACGGGCTGGCTAGTAGCTGTCACGGTTGGCAGCGAGGATTTGTACAGAAAGGAGACTTCGGCAAGCAGATTGGCAGAACAAATTTACGACGTCCGGGGAATGCTCACAACCGTGAATGGTGGTTCTTCTATTCAGGTCGGGCATGTCGATACGTGGACTGCGTGGGTTGATGGTTAGTCGGCGACATCCAATCTGTGTGTCAAATTGAGCTAATTGGATTAGGAGCAAACAAGGCCGTGATTCAAGCATGCGACTTCGTTGGCACAGACGGATACCCATACTTCCAGAATACCCAGGCAAACAATATCGACCAAGGTTACAATCTGTTTTGGGAGTCTACTCAGGCAGTCAGAGATGTGGTCAATAGAGTGAAGCCGGGAGCTTGGGTTTGGATAACAGAGGTAAGCATTCTCGTTGCCGTTGAATTTACATACGCTGACTTTCTACAGACCGGATGGCCAACTGCTGGCCCTACAGAGAACCAAGCCGTTCCTAGTCTTACCAATGCGCAGCAATATTGGTCGAGTGTTGCATGTTCTGCGTTCGGATCTGGACACACTTTCTGGTATACACTTCAAGACTTCTCGGCTAGTCCCTCCTTTGGTGTCCTCGATGCGAACTACAACCCTAAATACAACTTGGCTTGCTAAATTTGCGGTTGGAGCATGGATCAGAGTTAATAGAAAGTCGTCTCTTTCCAGTTGTAAGCGGTGATTTGAAGATAATGGAGACATCAGTAAGGATACCGTCATCCTAGATTCTCAGTAATGAAGTGTCGTTTATCACCTTCCTAATGCACATTTGACATCTACAGCAAAACATGTGCAATGTGATGTGTGAGGGGTGATTCCCTTAGACCGAAAAGTTATTCCTCCACTGATATTTATTTTCCGTGTTCGAGTGGATACGATCAAATGGTTAATCTTTTTGACTTCCCCATCTTCTTTAGCTTAACCTAGTCTCGGTACATGTTGATCCTTGGACATTGACCGTAGTTTAAATGTTATTCAGATATTCAGGTTACGGAGGGTTTGTATTTCACATGTCTAAAGTCTTACGCGCTCGTCTTGCTTTTTCGTTATTTTACATCAAATGTTCTGTCTATTCTTCGTCTGGACTTATTATTCCCTCGCTTCATTAAATCAGTTTGTATTCAGCGGCGGTCTGAGCAGCTGCGGCACTCTTGCGGCGCAGAATCTTAGATCAACATGATGCTTGTCAAATCAGCTGAATGAAAGCTTGAATGACGATTGTTTCCAGCACCGCCATCAAAATCTTTCCAGGTTCTGCTTTCGCTCTCGCGCAATTGTCAACCGAGCAGCAATTTGCGGGGGTGGAACTGATCCCCGCGATCCCCATCTTCTTGCCCACCGTGGCTGAAGCTCCCCCTGTCGGTCGCTTGGCTCAGGTACCGTTTTTCCTATTATCCCTGGATCATGGAGGAGTATAAACAGGTGAGGTATCTGGCATGTTCAAAGATGGTTCTCAGCTATCCTCTTCCGTTTTGCTGCTCGAATATCTCTATTCCGCAGAATGATTGAGCTCACTATGTCGTGGACAAAAAGTGCGTCACGGTTGGTGGTCGCATTAGGTCTCGTCTCTCAGGCGTCGGCGTTTTTGAATGCCACAGAGACTTCGACTCAGTTGGTACGAGAATCCCTTATTCTTTGCACACTTTGGGCCATTTTAATTTCAACAGACTCTTGCAAATGATAGATTCTCCGCCACTTTGAGCAAGTCCGGTGGTGCGATTAAGCAAATGTTCTTGGACGGACAAGATCTGTTAGGAACGGGATCAACATATCTCGATTGCTACTGTACTCCTTCTGGATTCTATACTCCTGGTTCAAAAAGTCCCACATACAAGCTTCTGAAGGGAGTGGATTCCACCAAAACGCCATGGGGAGGAATGGTCCTAAGTGAGGTCTACGCTCCCACTGGTCAGATGCTTGAGCAGTACTGGTTCTTGCGAGAAGGCGAAACAGGATTACACTCATTTAGTCGACTGGCATACTACAACAAGACTACACCATTTCTTCGAAATCTTCAGGAATTTCGAACACTGTTTCGACCCAGCACCCCACTGTGGACTGATCTAATCACGAACGAAATTCAATATGCTCCGCTTCCATCGAAGAACGCTACCGCCGCCCAGGTTGTTGTTCAGGATGCCACCTGGTATCTCGGCAAGACACCTAATGATCCGTATGTTGTACAGCAGTCCGATTATTTTACCAAATACACCTTTGCGGACACATGGAGAGATCACAGCGTCCATGGTATGTATGCAGATGGTTCACAGAGTAAGGATGGATCTACCTTCGGTTCGTGGCTTGTCATGAATACCAAAGATACATATTTCGGTGGTCCTCTGCATTCAGATCTCGTCGTTGACGGTATTGTATATAATTACATTGGTACGTCGATTAAGCGAGCACTCCTTTCTCAAAAATACTTACTCACCATTACTAGTGTCGAACCATCACGGTGATGGAACTCCTAACATCACAGATGGATTTGACCGTACCTTTGGACCTGTGAGTTTCAAATTCATCATTTCCACTATGAGTTGAGCTGACCAGTGTATAGTTCTTCTACTATTTCAACAAAGGTGCTCCAACAGCATCGATGGCTGATCTTCGCAAAGATGCGCTCAAATACTACTCGCCAACCTGGAACACAGCTTTCTATGATTCCATCGCCCAATACGTGCCCAACTACGTTCCATCTTCCGGTCGAGCAACATGGAAGGGCAAAATCAATCTCCCAAAAGGAGCCAAGAAACCAATCGCAGTACTCGCCCAAAACCGCGTTGATTTTCAGGATAATGCAGAAGACACGAAGGCATACCAATACTGGGCCGATGTGGACCCCAAGAGTGGTGAGGTGTCCATCCCATCTGTGAAAGCTGGCACATACCGCTTGACGGTTTATGCCGAGGGTATTTTCGGCCAGTTTACACAGGATGATATCAAAATTGAAGCCGGAAAAACGCGCACCACAAAAGCCAAATGGTCAGAAGAGAGTGCGGGGACAGAAATCTGGCGAATTGGTACTCCAGATAAGAGCAGCGGAGAATACAAACATGGTTACGAGAGAGAGCCATCAAAGACATTACACCCAGAACAATACCGCAACTACTGGGCTGTCCACGACTTTCCGAATGACTTCCCAGAAGGCGTTACATTTGAAGTTGGCAAGAGCAAGGAGGTTGAAGACTTTAACTATGTCCACTGGAGCGTCTTTGGTGGATATGGCAACTCCATCCGAACCACACCGTATTGGGAAAATGTCAACAATTGGACTGTTCTGTTTGACATGAAGAAGAAGCAATTCCACAAGAAAGACAAAGCCACGCTGACTATCCAATTGGCCGGTGCTAAAACGGCGGCGGGTAATACGGATATCTATAATGCATCTGAACCGTATTCGAACTTACCATACACAGTTGTAGTTAATGGCAAGGAGCTAAAACCGTGGATTATTCCGTAAGTTTTGCAATACATTTATATTGCACGCAGGCTAACACCATCATAGATACTACCAAAGCAGCTCTTGTGCGGTTCGATCCGAAGTTATCTGCTATAATCTCGCTCACAAATTCGCGTTTGACCCAGAGATACTGAAAGATGGAAAGAATGAGATGATTCTGAGTTTGCCGCCTAATGCTACGAATTATGAGAGTGCGCTGTTGACGCAGAGTACATATGTACAGTATGATGCTTTACGACTTGAGATTGATTAAGCATGGTCTGCATGATAAAAATGATGTTCGCTTGATCGATGGTGTAACATTAGGATATGAAAAAACACAATTATAATCCCAATGTTCATTTTATCGCGCTCGTGAGATATTTATTTTTTTCGGCTGGGCCTTGAATGGTGGACAGACAAACAAAGTGTACTATTTTGCGGGCAATTCTCTACTTGCTTTGGTCAGGCTAACACCTGCAAGATGCTTGCGATTGCTTTGCACCGTGTGATGCTGACACGATTTCAGGGTCTTGAAAAAGAACCTCCTTTTACTCTCTGCCCGGCAGTGCAAGCAGATATAGTTATGCTCGCCGATCCACCCATGCCAATACTTGCTCAGCACAAAAGCTCAGCTATGACAGGCATAACGCTCTCAGAAATAAAATGTATGGAAACAAGTAGACCAGCCTCTTCCTACCATAGATAAAACGAGTGTTGTCGAACGCCAACTAACGCTTGACAGATTGTACCCAAGTTAAAACCTTACCGTTTTTCAAGATGGAAAATGTGGTTCAAATTGGATTTACTCACTATAAGTCACTAAAAATCACTAAAAGTAATCGACGAAACATATAATACTATATAGATATGTAAAGGTGACTAACGGTTAACGCGTTCAAACTGCCGGGACACGCTCCAAGAACAGAAACGAGTTTCCAACACTCCTTTCTCATCAAACATATTTACCCTCAGAAGAGAAAAAGGTGCTTAAAAGACGAGATGGAGTAGAAGTACCTTTTGGTCGTTGTTCTGCCACGAGGAGGCGTCGTAGCAACATGCCAGTGGATCACTTCACATTCTGCCTCAAGGGCAACTTGTTTGATCACCCACGATTTGATATAGATGTGAACTCCGTGGGTGGCATACGATCTTTTCGCATAATCTTCTTTCGACATAGTACAGGGCTGACAAGAGTTGACGAGTGTCAATGCTATATCAAAAAATGCGAGGCTCAGCCTTTGCGCACAATAAGAATTTAAAGCATAAGTGTCACGCTTGTCCGTAGTTTGTCATAGGATAGTGAGGATACATGCCATTGCTATAAGTGATGCGTCCTGGTATTGAGTTCTATGACTGCATATAGAATCCCGTGAAAGGAAGTGAACTGGAAAATACATACTGAAAATATGATTCTTCTTCATCCTCCGCCTTTCCACAATAAGGTTGATCTTGCTCTAAAATGCTCAGCACCCTTACCAGAAAAGTTGTATCGCTGTTGTAGATCAAGTCGGCACAGTAGATAATTATGGGGGGTTGCATTTTGTGAAGTTGAAACTTGTCTGCGCAATTATGTAAATCAAACTGCAAGAGAATCCTGACCTCAATTCAGAGTCGTACAAAGTCTTGAAGCTAAAAATGGACGGATGAACGATATTAAATACTTTGAAAAAAGACATCATGTAATATTAGGTTTACATGTAGTCGAATATGTCGTAGTAACACCGGTGCTTGTCCAACTTATGACATGAGAGACGTAGACTACTTCTTCGTTTCGATGTCACGCATGGGGAAAGGAACTTTGGCCTTCTTCCAACATGTCTGCTGATTCAATAACCATGCTATGTATTAGGTACTCGGCTCCGATATACCAGATCAGGGAGCGGGAAGAGAACGACGGTTCGATGTGACACCACAACATGGACGATGTGCCTCTGTAACCCCCACAAGTCAAGCAAAATGCCGTGGCCTCGTGACAAACTCTCAGGGATATCGGATGATGAACGAGTAGAGGAAGTCCGGATATAGCGTCCAGAGGCTGTTGGTTGCACACGTTGAGCAAGGAATCACGCCCGCTACCAGCTGTAATACGGCACAGAGCGACGCACGAACGGACGATCATACAGTCGAACGCATTTACTGAATCGATAATTGGTGAATATGATCCCAGCGAAAAGATCAAGAGTACATGGTAAAGTGTCAATCTGCCACTACATGTAGCACTCAAGCAATGCGCTGCAAGCGACAGCAGATCTGGGGACGAGAAGGAAAAATTGACTCTGAAGGTGAGATCAACTTCGTTACTTCATTTATCTCGGAGCAAGAATGAGAGAATTGAGATATGAATGATGGTATTGAACATTTGTGGTGAGCAAGTTTCGATTGGCTGATATAGCTTCACCAGCTTGCTCCCATTTGCAACCACACGTTGACGGACTCATTTTCGTACTTCGAGATTGAATGCAAGACGAGAATGTAACTTGGAAGGAATAGTCAGTACCGTAGTTTGCAGCACTTTGGATATGACAGATGTGATCAAAAATCTTTCAAGGAGGCTGATACAAAGGTGGGCTGGACTTTGTTACCACAATGCTAGCTTAGCCATGCAATTATTGTAGCTTGAGGATTGAACAGCTTAGAAGGAAGTGAAATAGTAAAGGCTCAAGCTGAAGGATACTTCTTCTTGCAGCTGATATACACAGATGAAGCACATTACGAAAGCATATACAACTTTGTCGTTTCCACGAGAGCATCGGCGTGTTCCTTACTCGCGGTGGCACGAGTCGGGTCAACCAAAGCCTTGACAAGCATGACTACATGCCTCCTTCCAACACTTGCAGAAGTCCGCATGTTAAGGATGGGGAGGCGAGATCCAGCCAGGCGTACTCCGTGCACACAACCAACTTTTGTTTACCCGGTCCAGTCACACTGATCTCGAGATGATCTGCTCATTCCGTCCAAACGAACCGGAACTACCGTGTCTGGAGCTGCTGTGCCCCACGGATGTCTGTTTCTTCGCCCAGGACTGTTGCAAAAGCAACGTCTCTTTCGTCAGCGGACAGTTCTTTGAGCCACTTGTGCGCTTTCGTGGTGGTGGTTGTTCTCCACAAAGACTCGAGTTTCGTCGCCCATCTCTCGCTTGACAGGCGGCCAAGGGAGACCCCGCTGCCAGGTCTCAATCCGGCCAGAGCGCACAAAACCCGCAGCCATAGAGGAGCATAGGGGACCGCACAAACACCGCAATCGCCCTCACCAGCCTGCTATTGGTGAGGGCCGTGAAACGCAAGCGTCTGTGAGCGGTACGAAAAAAAGGGTCTGCGATAACAGGCAAGGGACCGAGTTGAAGTGCCAGATGCATATAAAGAGAGTCCTGTCCCACCTGTCGGGAAGAGGATCATTAGCACAATCACAACTTGCAAAAGAAAAGCAAACTCAAACACATACCAATTTTCCCTCACACCAGACCCAAACCCCAATCAACACCATCATCATGAAGGGAGAATGCGGATGCTCAGGTTCCTCCAGCTGTAAGCGACCCCTCCTTTTCCCCCTCATTACCCGCCCCACCAAATCCCGAGTTTCGACCATGAGCTGGCAGCTTTGGAAATGAACACAACAAAAACACCAACAAAGCATGATATAGTGCTGTGAAAGACCGTGCTAATATGTGTCATTGTTAATAGGCAACTGCGGCTCGGACTGCTCATGCTCTAGCTGCGGAAAATAAGTTCTTCATTGAAAACACCCCCCCACCTTTCGCTTCGAATGCCCCTCGATACGTCGACATGATTCAATAAGCCTCGTCGATTGCACTTCTCCAGGGCTCGACCGCCCCTAAACCATGGATCTCGAAGTGGTACTTGGCGTTGCATACCGGGCGGAAACTTTTAAAGCATTTGGGTTCGGGATTACATGTATGGATACCAATATTTGATGCGTATACTTTGGAAGGGAATCGTGGTCGTTCAGTGGATGTGTTAATTCTCGAAAAGAAAAAAGACGTTTAATGAAATTGCTCGATACTCATCTTATTTTTTCAGATATGGATATACGTTCGGTGATGAAGGAATGCGCCTTGTGTGACGTGCTTTTGTCTGGTTAGTAACGGCAAGATATTGAACCGCCATTCCGGTTGATTGCTCGGAATCCTCTATCATGAGATGATAGTCTGCAATGATGCCCAAACCAACATCATGAATTTATGCGAGCATCTTTCTGTTGTCGTCGACGTCCCATGTGGCGCTCCTCTGGATCGAATTGTAGCATACTTGTCCCTGTTTAATACCTCCTTCCCAATCATTCGTCGCTCTTCAGTCATACTGTTGTCAAATCCAAAGCATCGCCCACTTGTATCAAGCGCCACTGAATAGCTTCCGTCAATCCCCCACGCCACTAAACCGTGCCACGTTTCCCATGTCATGAAGCTCAGAAACTCTTACCTCACAGTCCCTCCTCATTTCTCGCATCCAAAGCGCTTCTCCGTGGTGTGTTACCCCAAAACCAACTCACAAGACAGAGTGCAGGATGGAGTCCAGGACGTGGGCATGTTCTGTCGTGACTACCGCTATCGATATCGCTCACTGGCTCCTAAATGAATCTCCGTCAGCTGATGGAGGATGGCGTCTCCGTCCCAATAAGACGTGTGGGAAGCTCGTGTCTTTCTAGTTTTGTTTGATCATCTCTCCGCACGCTCTCTGATCGCCATTTCAATCATAGAATCATTGTGGAGCTTCTTGTTAATTCCTAGGTTAGGTGACAGACAATCGCACAGGTCTTCTGGCCCCTCGGTGGTCTAGTTATTGATAAACTTTGGCAAGAGTCCGGCTACACGTCAGGTAATCGTTTCTCGATGGTGTAGATCGATGCCACCCACCACAACTCAAGCCTTCCGGCCGTCCTTCTGTCGCATATCACATCTCATGTGTTCTTGAACCGAATTGGTGTGTAGGACGATTTCCTTGGGTGGTACAGCCGCTGCTAGACGAGCCGCATGTGATGAGGAGCATAGTCTGATGGATATAAAAAGCGCCTCTCTTCCCGCTATGGGGAGCTGATCCTCATCCTGAATTAAGGGCTCCCCCAAAAACCACTTGCCAAATTATTGCGTCCCAGACAATACCACATTTTCAGATACCCAACATCCTAAACCGCCAACATGAAGGGAAATTGCTCTTGCTCAACTTGCAATTGTGGAAGTGATTGCTCGGGATGCTCTTGTTGCTCAGTATGTAGCTTCTGTGCCGTGGAATGAGACAAGAACGCTTCGCTGATAAAGTATGCAGCACTAAACATCAAACCTCAAATTCACAACGACAACCCCTCAATGTTAGTCGCGTCGAGTCCTTGATGGGATTAAGAAATACGATTTTCGGGATGGGCACGTCACCGTCGATGTTGTTGTGTAACGGAGGCTTTGTTATCAGATGTGTCCGAGTTGGAGAGGAGGAGGGAGATTAGAACAATCATGTGGATGCAGGATTTCCGACAATCTTTAGGGTGATAGATGTTGTCTATGACGATCAGCGAACATGAGGTGTAACATCGTATTTGAAACTCGTACTTACCTTGTCGTAAAGTCTTCGCTCTACATTGGAGGTGATCTTTCACGGACTCTCTTTATTCTCTTCTTTGAGAACTTCTTCTAATGTTGGGCTTACTTGGCTGCATCCTAATATCTGCCTATGTTGAGAGAAGCGCTAAAATGACGCAAGTGAAGCCCGCACGCCTGTATCCAACTGGAATTCCGAGAGGCGAGCTCAACTCTTGAAGGCTGTCGACTGTCATTCGAAGACATTGTCTTGCTGAAAGGTGATCGTCAAGAATTGAAGCATTTATAAGGAGATTTCGTTGAACTGTGTTATACCTACAAGAGATGTAAATGAAAACTCTTGTGGGCGTGAACAATGCTTGTTGAGGAGAGTACGGCGACCTTGTCTGTCAGAATATCGTCTTCTGACGGTATTCCTAGATTTGAGGTACCTTATTACTAGTAGAGACGAGACAACGAGAGAATGATTAAAGCGTAGACGGCCAACTGAAGAGGAATGTAAAGAGGAAAACACTTCGAAGAAGAACGAGGTCTTCTGAGCAGTCTTTGTTAGAGATGAGCCTCCAACCTTGATGGCTACCTGCGGCAAGCACATCATTTAAGCAGATCATATGTCCAGATCAAGACACCCGGATGGCGAGTATGATAATTTGGATAATCTGAAATCCTACACATCAATATTACAATATCAATACATATTTACAAGCCAGACCTCTACGCACCTCAGGGTCACCCCAAAAAGTTGATTCCCACACCAAATTGGAATCCCTTCCTAGCCTCTTCGCCAGTCCTCACAACCACAGGTAAGCTGAAGTTGAGTTCGAAACGCGCTACAGGATGCGCATAAACAAGACCAACACCTGCTGAGAGACTTGGGGCACCGTCAGCCAGTTGTGCCACTGTGCTGTACACGCTTTTTTGAACATTTCCTCCTTTGTCTTTCAATGCCAGCAGTCTGCCAGCATTACCGAACACTTGAAAGCGCAAGGGTGTATCCTTCCCAACTCGTGGAACTGGGAATAGCAGGTTTGCAGATCCAGCAGCGAAAACATCTCCGCCCACTGCGTCAGGCCCGTCTCTTGGACCGAGACCTCCCAGCTTGAACCCCCTCACGTCGGTTGGGCCCCCAAGTTGAAAACGGTCATTAATACGTGATGGCTGAGAGGTCGATCCAAAGCCGACAGGTAGAGGATAGAGCATTCCAGCTCGAAACCCGGTAGTGAAGCTGACCCCGCTATCTCCCTCAATGCCAGGTATTGGGATTGCAAAGGACTTGGAGCTCTCCATTTCCGACTTCCAGAATGCGACATCGCCTCTCAAAGGCCCCCATCCGGCTATCTCTGAGACTGTCTTCATAAGATAGCCATCCGTTGGAATGAAAGGGTGATTCCTACGGTCTGCTATCCAGGTATGTGATATAGCACTTTTGACACTATCACCAGCTTCCGCGCGGACGGTAGCTGAGGCATTCGGCCCTAGACTTGTGATTTGTCTCCATGTCTGTGTATAGCCAACTGAGTGTTTCGTCCCGCTGTTGGTCGCCCATCCGTACTTCGCACCAGCTCCCTTCAGGACCTCCTCATGATTGGCCCATGGCTTGAGTGTGGCACTAGAAACGGCGTCCACTTGAAGTCGTTTGTCCGGATCGCTGGAAATGGGCATATCAAAGACTCCATGATAGGCGGAGCGAGTGCGTGTCCCAGCAGAGGCATTAAAGTTGAAAGACTCCGCACCTCCAAAAATGTTCCTCCACAGTAGGTTTCCATATGCTGATCCCTCAGTATTCCCAAGATCAGTCCCCGTTTTTAATGCTATTCGGCCACGTTCGGTTGCCTTGATGTATATATCGATATCGGTGGGAGTGGAGGAAGGGTCGGTAGGGGAAGGTTTGTCGACAAACATGGAAACACCATCATGGAAAATATCTACCATCATCAGAAAACAGATTTTCAAGGATATCTGCCTTGATAGGAAGCTCACCAAATCGCCGCAGTTTATCTGTTGCAGAGCCAACTTCTTGCAATGCCTCCGACAGTGTATACGGACGATTGCGATTTGCGCTCAATATGGGATTGAAAAGCGTGTCAAGAAATGACCTTCTGGTCTTCTCCGCGCCAATAAGCCGAATAGAGGAGATGGTCACTGGCAATGTCGAGTTGTCAACAATCTGCTCGAAAATTAATGGAAACTCCAACCAGCGGGGGTGGGCTCTCTGACCAATTCTTTCAGCCTCTGCTGCGCTTTTGCAGCATGATCTCGCTCTTTTTCTCTTGCTATTCTTTCCTCCTCTTCTAATCGCTTCGCATCTGTTTTGAGCAGATTGTCAAACAGCTAGACAAATCAGCAATTGCTTCCGCGAGAATGAGCACAATGCATACGCGCAATTGACCATTGGTATTTTACTTACATCATCTGCAGAAGAAGGCGACGCCATCACCACCGTCACACTCTCAGCTCGTACTAGCACAACGGCGGATGTTCTTGAAGCTATTCGTAGCTGCCTGTGGTGTTGTTGTATTATTCGAGACCCCGAAATCGCGAGAGAAACAGGGTTGCCGACCAAGACCCCGGGCCCGGACCGAAGCCGACGTCGTGCCTGTCCTGAGGCGCTGGCCAGCGATGACAAGGCGAGTCTGAATCCCGGCTTCACCACCTGCAGTGCCTCTTCACCATCAAAAGCACACGACACCACTACTACGCCCCAGTGAATCAGAAGTTTTTCTAATTCTTTCAAATTCCTCACACATATAAAGACGATAAACACGGCCTGTGTTGCCTAAACTTCTACACATATTCTCTGCGAGCATCTGCTTCGTACCTGGCTGTCAAACGCACACAGGCGCGCAGCCTCTCAACTCCAACACGATGGCGAGCCGGGCAGCGAACAAACGGGCACGTATCCCGATGGCTGCAAAGACCTGGCACGTATGCTAACATTTGGTAGCTCACAAGAGAATACAAAACAATATCGGAAAACCCCCCGCCATTCATCGTAGCGCATCCCTCAGAATCCAACATTCTCGAGTTAGTAACCCAACTCCAATCGCAAACGATCCCCCGCACTGACCCCTCTCAGATGGCATTATATCCTCACTGGACCTCCAGATACTCCATACCATAATGGCCAGTATTGGGGAACTCTAGTCTTCCCTCCAAACTACCCCTTCGCTCCTCCTGCGATCCGCATGCACACGCCTTCCGGCCGGTTCCAGTCCTCCACTCGGTTGTGTCTCTCCATATCCGACTTCCACCCCAAATCTTTCAATCCAGCATGGGAGGTGAGCACGATCTTGATTGGGCTGTTGTCGTTCATGACAAGTGAAGAGATGACGACTGGTTCGGTCGGGGGCACTGAGGCTGAGCGCAAATGGGCAGCCTCACGGACAAGATGGTGGAACAGTACAGGAGGCGGAAGTTGGAAGGGAGACGGCAGCAAAGTGCAGAAGGGCAACATCAAGGCCGGTGATGGAGGCGCCAAGTTCAGAATAGAGTGGCCAGACTTGGATGCCGAAAACTGGAAATGGATGAAGGAGAATCGAATTGATCCGACCACTGGGAATATCATGCCCGATCCAAATGCGCCAGCCGCGAGTTGTGGTCCTGTCACCGGGTTGAGACGACCTAGCGGAAGTCAAGCTGTTGTTGGCGCTGTGGTTGGAGGCGGTCGCGCGGTTGGAGAGGAAGGTCGAAGTTGGATAGCACGGAATAAGCTATTGGTAGCTGGTGGGATCATCTTCACATATGTCTTGATCGCTCGACTTTTGGGTGAGGGGACTGGCAGTTAGATCTGACAGTGGAACCATTACAGCCCAAGGTTAGATGAAAAAGCCAAAGGCTTGTACACTATGATATTTTTCATGTTTTGGCGAATAGCGCGGCGTTGAGAGTTGGACATGAAGTCCGGAATGCCTCTTGTTGTCTTCTCCTCTTTGGTGGGGCACGTAATCTGAAGTTACCTTTCTTCGATGGAAATATCATGATTTTAGCGCGTAATTTTACATCTACTCTGAATGCACAGCGATTCAAGTTCCTGGCCATGAATCTAATCAGTGCTTTGCTTTTTAAGATTCGCATTAGATTCGGTCACCGAAGATTGATTCTAGTAAAACAGTCTTGTGATAAAGTACAACAAACAAACACAAATCCGCCTTAGTCCCGAGTCTCCAACACCACTAGATTTTAATTCACGTGCCATTACTATCCAAGACAGCTAGTCTATTTGACGGGCAGTGTCCATGTAAGACAACAAAACAGATGATGTTTATTCATACGAAGGTATTCGACGTATGTTGAAATCCTCAAAGACTCGCACAAAATCTCACTTACGATAAGTGCATTGATACATCTCCGCACAATCTCTAGCAAACGAATAATTATTTAAACACGAGCCACACAGCTAACACGCATACACAAGGATAACTCAAGATAGCCCCGCAAAGATCGTGAGCTATCGTATAAGCGGTTGTCACGTAGAGGTACCAGATGGATCGAGCGTTTGTTTTTGTTCACACCGCCAGGTACAACTGTCTCCTGATTCGATTCTGAGATGGCGTTGGAGTCACGGGTAGACTGGGAATTCCCGATGGGGTAGGTTTCATGTTGCAGCCGCGGATGCATGGGCGAGGATGGCGGTGATGATGATGAGTACCTATGCTTTTGACTTTGGCGATTTGTATGGATGCTGAATCTAGGTAGTTGTCAGAGAAAGTTGCTAGTGCTTGAAGAATAGATGGAGCGTTGAGGGAGATAGCTACTGTAGTTGACTTCAACAACAAGGAGACTTGATTTGGTGTACACGGGGCGTAGTCGCTAACTCGTCTATTGATTCAGCTGCTGCCAAGTGGTAGAGTCTCATGGACAAGACCTTCGCAGCTTCGCAAGTCTTCAATCCTCTTCACTGCATGGAGATCATTGCCCTGAAAATAATAGCCAGTCTCAGATGCCAACGTTTTCCGCCACAAGGCAAGTAATCTTATTGGTGGTTGAAACAGTATCAGGACTTGGTGTCCTGCGTTGAGACACCATCTTCCACCATCTTCACATGCTGGAGCTGCTCTGCTTCTGCTCTGCTTCTGCACTCACTCCAACGCCATGAACGGGAAGGATCACCACCTACTTGACGTATTGGCAATACCGTGAACCGCGGAAGGCATCTCGAGAAAGCCTCAAGACGGTCGACGGCAGTTCCGTTTGCAACCCTAAGAAGCCCCTCGTTACCCTCGCTGGTCGATATGGACAACTCATCGTTTCATTTTCAACCACAGCCCCCATACACCATAGAAAAACACGCCCCATTCTTGACCGCGACATCGGACGAAAACCTTCGTTGGTATTTTACCCATCAATTAGGTTTAAGGCCACATGCCGCGGATGCAGCAGGCATAGCACATCTGCACCATCATAGTGCATCTGGATTGTATTTGAGGCGGTCTGCGGCTTCACTGGCCTATGATACATCGCGGAACACCACGAGGTCCACCGAAAGACTCCCAGCGCACGCTACGACAGTCAACAACTCTTGGAGAATTTAAACAGAATTTGAATCACTCAGGATATCCTCTCAACTTCCAAAGATCACTTCTCTATTATTCTCCCTCACTCTAGCCTTTCGACATTGACTGCTCTATCTTGGTTGACTGTCGACCCAACAACTCGCTTAGGTCTCTCACTCCTCCTCACCACGACAACCCACACCCCTATCCGCTCCACGCTCCTTCAAGCTCGCCTAATCCTTTCCCAGCAGGTGGGGTTTAGTACCTGTGGACCCCTCAATGCGTCCAGTAAACCCATGTCAACGCCTTCTAAACCCAGCTTCAAGAAGTTAAAACACCACAGCAAAAGTCGGTCACGACGATTCCAGACCTCTGACACCTTCGTGTGTTGAGGTTGCGGGAGCAATAGCCGCCTCGGCAGCCAAATATTGATCCACCCAAATCGAATCCGTGGCGTTTGCTGTGGTCTATATGCTCTGACGGGTCCCACTGCATCTCGCATATCAGCCAACGGCTCACACTACTCTCAACGTTCGAAAACACTTTTAACCAGCGACGGGCTCGAACTGGAAAAATATTCGAATTGATTGGGATTGTTACGAGGGATTGGAAGATATTCAACTCTCGAATATCGAATCATTTTTGGGTCCTGGCATCATTGTGAATAAGTCATCTAATGGTTAAAGATGCCTTCCCCATCGAAACGTTCGAGACAACTCGACTACCTTTCTACCAAGTTCAGCAACCATTCATTTTCTAGCATAGCTTCGGGGTCGGATGCAGGAACATTCCATTCAGCACACGCTCAACCGGTGCCAGTAGAGCTGGTACCAGTGTCTCGAAAGTCAGTCACAAAGGAAATCGTTCAAGCTATATCTCCCGCAAACTCCGCCCAACCTCCCACAATCTCTTCAGTTCGAATGATCAGACAAGACTCTGGATTCTCAGACGGGTTGCCACGATCCAACCGCTCATCGATGTCGTCCTCATCAGTCCGTCGTTCCTCTCTATCAAAACGAGAACCCAAGCGAAGAACGACGAACTCATCACTATCATCCTCGACAAGACCTTCAACCAAACGTGCCTCGAGATCAACACCGAATGGTATATCACGCTCCTCAACCTCCTCAGGTCAACGACCAACTATGCAACAGCGTCACACGACCCCATACAACCAACCAGCCTACCAATTCTTCCACTTCCCAACCTTCACCGACCCAAGAGACCCCCCACAAGTAGAAGAAGAATCTCCAACATCTCCACCACCACCACCAGCGACAGTACAATACTGGACATCGGATTCCACTCGCCGGCTCGAATACGCAGCCATAGACGCGGCATCACGCGGTGTAAAAGGATTCTTGATAAAAATGATGCCGGACTGTATCCTCCCACCAAGCTCGCGACATACACGATTTTGCAAGGGCGACGACGAAGACGAGGATCTCGGGAGTGTGCGGCGGTATCGTCTTCATTTGCCGGAAGAGAGATGTCCGATCACAAGCGGCAAGGGGAAGGGGTTCTGGAAGGGACTTGGGTGGGGACGGTCGCGGAGAGGAAGTTGTTGATTTAATGGGATGATGAGATATGGAGTATATGACTGATGAGATGGATTTGGTTTGTTTTGTTGAGCGTGCATTAGCATTGTGCTGGAGCTAAATACCCCCCGTTGCGTTTGTGTGCTCCACTTGGAGCGTTGATGATTTTATGGCGATGTTGGATTTGGTGTTATGTGAGAGGGATGCTGGTGGAGTGGTGCATGAGGTTTTGAATGGCTAGATGTTTTTCTGGATACATGAGTTTATCTAGGGCATATTATATATATATCATAGAGGGAGTAATAGAAATGATGAGTAGTAAGCTAGCTCGTGTGGTTGAGAAATACACACTCTTTTCTGTCTCGCTTCAGTGGATATCACAATGCCGTAGAGTTCCAGGGTTGAGACGACAACCTAGCATCAACTGATCTCAGCTCGTTCTTCTTCCTAGAATTAAGTTGTAAATTAATGACCTAAAACATTTTTACTACTAACATATTCCAGTCACTGGCCACTCATCGCATATCGACTTGTCCCACCATAGTAGATATTAACAGCTTTCCTAGATGAGTTTCATACTTCTCGAAACAAAACGCCAAACCGCATTCAAAAAGAGCCCGTCGCCCTGGGTATTCGCATCATTCTGCATTATACAACAAGTTAAACATTCCATCCGCCCCAAACACAACTCATTCACACACTCGCATGTACCGGCGCATTAGGATCCTGCTTACTCGCACTCCCCCTATGCGAAAAACAATACACCGCATCCAACACCGTACTAACCGCAAAAAGCAACCTACGCATCATCAGCCACCTTCATCCCTCCTTATCTTTCTCGACAATACATACCACTCAAAAGCCCCAAACACAGTCGCCGCCCGACTAACCCCACAACTCCCCGTCCCAGCCCAACACCAATCCCCCAACACCACAGCGAACGCCACGAAGCCGGCGAACCAGAAGATCATCGTTACTGCATCGACGGCGAGGATCGCGTATTTGTGCGCGAAACGCGGGAAACGGAGGGGGGTGAGGATGAGGTAGGTGAGGGCGAGGAGTGTCCAGATTGCGCAGAAGAGGAGGAAGGAGGGTTGGGAGGGGCGGTCCCAGGGGTAGTAGTTTAGGGGGGCCCAGAGGTGGACGACTGTGGGTTGTTAATATATATATTTGTGTGTGTGTGTAGTTGGAGGGGAAAAGGAGGAGGGTACGTACCGTAGGCTGTTAGGCCGAGGGAGATGATGGCGAAGATCAGTTGGGTGACGCGGAGGGGGAGGGTGAAGACTTGGGTGTTGATCATGATGGAGGTTTCTTGTTATTAGTTGATAATCGTATGTGAGTTGAAAAATTTGCTGTCGGCTTTGTATTTTGTTAAGTGATGGAAGATTGAAGTTGCGATTTGATGTGGCAAGTATATCACTTCTTTGTTATTCCCCAAAACCGGTTTCTGGCTCGACCTACCAAACAGACAAAGAGAAATATCACACTGACTTGGACGGCTAGGCATAGAAGAATATATATTAGATGTATAAACCCCTTGACCGCGGCGCAGGTTATCTGAACCATCTAATGCGTAAGCGAACTAATAACACAACAATATCTTAGGACCGCGGAAGAAAGCCTCGTCACCAACAGCCTCAACATGAACTCCCCGCGTTTCATCTCCCGGAATGGAATACGATTGACCAATTCAATTGGTATTATTGCTCGGCCTTCACAGTTGGGCAGTGTTCGTTGTGGTCAACTGACGTGCGAGGTGGGGTAAAACTTGTTATGAGTGCCGTGCCACGCCCTTCAGGGATGAATGTATTCGTTGCTTCTCAGCCACAACGTGCTTGGGATCTTGGCGTTGAAATCTGAGTGACCCTCTTTCGTTCGTGATTTCTTGTTTGGCTTTCGCGATGTGAATGTTGTGTGAGCTGAGTGATGGAGGGAGGTGTCGCAAAATCGTGTGTTAGGAAACCGCGAGATGAGGTGCTGAGCTGAATCAGGTGACGTCACCTGAGCTTGTCGATGCTTCAGGTTGCCCATCCCAAGAAGACATTCCTTCTACAGGCGAAATGAGGATATAATAATCTGCAAGAGTCAGCACGGTTGAATTGGAATCCAAGGCTTGTTTCTTCAATACCTCCTAGGCAGATGGCATTACTGACACTGGTTCCCAGTTTCCAGGTCCCGAGGGAATTCGATACCAAAAGTCCAACAACTCCAAAAACTCCAAAAACTCCACATCACGATGTATTTCGGGGATAAAACTGCAGCGAAAGACCTTGATGATATCCCAGACTGTCTGGCGGTCGGCGAGCGAATCGAAATGGCGAAAATAAGACATGTGGCAGCTTGCAATCCCCATTCCAGTTCTCAATGAATGATTCCATTTATCCTTCGGCGCCTTTGGCTGTAAAAGCTCCTCCTCGGAAATACCTATCCACGTCCAGCAGATTTAAGACATATCAAGATTCCGCAGATTTCGTACAGCGCTTTGTCGAAATTGTTCTAGGGTTTTGCGCTCGAGTTGTCTGATATTATCGTCGTGAGCGGCTTTGGTTTTGCTCACGATCGCCACAAAGTCTGAGATATATTTGTCTCCATCCTTCACATGTTTCGCGAGAAATCGAACCCCTTTTTCTTGTCTCTGGGCTTCGTCATTATAGCATTTCCTTGATTCTAAGGCGAAACGCATTCTCGACCAGCGATTGCTGCGTGTCCCTACTGTTACAGGCAGATGTAGCCTTTCCATAGCTCTCTGCATCTTTTGAGTTGACCATCGGCCATCGTCCTCCCAGCGTGCGACTATATATTGCAACTCCCGGTAAATATCTTCTTCGCTGATGAAGACAGACTCTCGACAATCAAGACAAGGCCCGGCTCGTTCTTCAACATCGCCGCTGCCCATTACCATAACTTCTTCATGTTTCCCTGGGCATGGGATTTCTCCTGGTTCGGTGTCCTTGCCATGAAGTTCGCATTCATGGCAAAACTTGTTGTAGCCATCGCAGTACCGGACCAGGGGCCCAGTTTCGCGGTCCATACACTCATACACATATTCCAAGTAATAACACATGTTTCGCAGATACTCGTCGGTCGAATTCGGATTTCGTGGGCGTTGAAAGGGTGTTGCTCAAATGGAAGCAGAATCTATGAACTTTTGTGAGGATGAAGAAACAGTCAATGGAAATTGAGGTACGGTGAAATGACCCAGGCTTAAGAGTAGATACTAATAGAAATTAGGCTAGATTTGTGGATGAAGAAGCTTATAATAGCTCTACCAGCCCACTAAGCCCACTCAAAAACCCACGACTAGAGTAGTAACGAATACCATCTATGGCAGAGCTCTTGGCGTTGAGATGAATTCAATTCATGGCCAATTGACATTGGAGAAAGAGCTTTTTTTCGGTGCATTTGAATGAGTTCCAATGAAGTAACCAGACCAGAACTTCGACTTTCCCAGACTTTTGAAAATTTTTGTTGCCAACATTCGTCATAACTAAGCAACCAGACATAAAACATGAGTCTCTTCAAATTTTTCTTCAGGAGCTGTTGCAGACGGTGTTCCAATCAGCGATCGTTCTAGAACCATAAGTCTGGCTTAGTATGTGGGTTCTTGATAAAGTTTTTAGCTCCGGCACTCAGTCACAGCTTAGCTTCTTTGGCAATGGATTGGCCGCAACGGTACCTTTCTCTATTCTCATTTCGGAATAGACTTTCATTCTCGGAGGTCTAGAAGCAGACAGAATCAGGTACCAACCTGATAACCACCCTCCACCCTAAATACCCCTCCACGATATGCCTATCCACGAAATCAACTTCTTCACGACCCAACATCTTCAAACACACTCATTTATCCAACAGCTGAAAGAAAATCACATCTTCATACCGACGACTTCGAAATGTTCGAGATAATCCCTCGTCTTTACCTCTCCGAATTTCCCAAGTCAATTCCTTCCAATATCACACATATACTCAACATGTGTACGACGCCTCATCCCGCCGATCCTAGCAGAACCTACCTCCACATTCCCATGAACGACGTCGACCACATCGCACCACACATCGAGAAGATCATCAACTTCATCGACAACGCCCATCAAAGCAATGGCACCGTCCTCGTTCACTGTTCGCTCGGAATCAACCGCTCAGCATCCGCCGTCATCGCCTATCTCTGCCACCACAACAAGATCAACTCCACCGAAGCCCTGGCTTTTCTCACCACCAAGAAGAATGATGTGCTCCCATGTACATTATTCTTGAAGCAGATCGACCGATACTTTCAACGCAAAGCCAGTGGAAAGGATCCTCTTGGTGGAGGTGGATTCCCTAGAAATATACGGGCACGGAAGATTGGAGGAGGAGTTGGAAATAATTCGAAAACTTGTGTTTGAAGGATATATTTACTTCATATTATACCACGGCGTTCTGGTAAGAACTTCAAACAACTTTCCAAATAACTGAATTGACTAACCGTTGTAACTAGGCTACCTACCAACCACACAACATCACCATCACTATCCCGATCATCTCATCTCTTATTGGAGTTTCATCACAGGTCGGAGTTATGGAAAGGGGCTTCTTTACTATGACGATTACAGGCGTTGGGTCGCGGCTCAAAAAGATACCCTTGTCGGCGCTGTTGGATACTGTATCACACTATTTGGGTTATTGTACTTGTCAGCAGACTTCTGCTCTTTATGTTTCAGCTTTATACCCTATTATACCCAATTACATTGTAGTGTTGAATACAAATAAATTACCCAACTCGTGTTATGCTTGAAAATGGTGACCTGTGAAACTAAGTACCATGAATGAGATCTGTGGTCGTTGTCTCTGACATTAATAGTTTACCCTTAACCACAGGCGAAATCCCTCTGGCTAATCCTACACTTCGTAACATACTTACTTGTCTACACAGCCCACGTCCCGGTGCAGACTATGTACCTGGCAGACAAGCTCAGGCCCGCAGTCTCAAGAGCACTTCGAGCAGAAAAGCTGTCACAATGCCCACAATCTGTAAGCTGCTCAAGTGTTCGCTTCAAGGGGTAGGAAGAACGTAGTAGTGGATGATAAATCAAGACCGCTCGAAAATTCTGATTCCTTTCACATTATCCTCGTGAACTTGGAGCAGCGACATAAGTACCACAATCTCAACTTCCGCATCAAATATTCCAGTTTACCAAAACTTTCGGAAGAATCAATTGAAGAATGTGTTTCACAGCGAAGAAGAAGGTTTTGTCAACACACTATCAACATCGCTCGAAACGCTTTTGATTTTCTTGCTCAGAACTCGGTATGAGCAATAAACTCTACTCAACATTGTTTTATCAATAAGCTCTCATGTAGGAAACTCATTCCCGTCCTCGAGTCATCGACATCTCAATATTTACTTGATATGAGGAAGCGGAATCTTGGTTGAAGTGTCTTGGTTAACATTTCCATTTAAGTGCCATGCGAAAGCAGTCTTGTCTCTCTAGGGATATCCCCAACGGAAAGTTGTGAGAAGCATAACAACAATTACCTTATCCATTTCTTCATTCATTGATACTTTGAAACTCTCTAATCTTAATTGACGGTGAACACGATCCCCAAGAAGAATATCAAAGTCAGACGACGTTTCAGTCCAAATAGTTTCGGATAAGCTCTCGCCGAACGTGACGTTCGGAGCCTCAAAAAATATCATCAAAGGTGAGGAGGAGCGAGAAAAACAATAACGATTGCCTTTGCTTCTTTCTTTGTTCACCGAAAATTTGAAGCTCCGAGGATGATTTCTACTTTTCCATTCCGATTGACGGCCAGAACGAGTTCAAAGATCCGCATCAGGATTTGAACCTAGGATTAGGATTTGGATTAGAGTTCAGTGAATCCAAGCAACACCACATGACAGAAAAGATACGTCTGTATCGTACCTCTGTACAGTCAGACAACTCATTCCGAAAACCACCCCAGAAATCAGCTTACATTAAGCATGTACAGCAGCACCCCATGTCAACGTAACGGCAAGGCTGCATAATCTCACCCGAACGTCCCATCACACGATCAACCGCTGCACTACAACGGCCGAAGATATGCAGTACGACACCCGAATCACAAATCAAGCACTTCTCCCCGAATTGCAGCTTAAGACTTCAAGCACATCATGCATCAAGGGTCTCGGTCATCGCCGAACAAAGTTTGCATTATCTAAGTATACCAAAGAACCAGCTCTAGCTATCTACTTCTATGTATCTTAAACCTTGCCTTCGATCTCACGTGCACTATGTTTCTCATCGCTCAGATCATCTCCAGTCTCAATGTCTTTTGTGGGAATAGCAGCCGTTGCACCAGCTGGCGCTGCTTCCTCGAATTTTCTACCTCTCTTCTCTGGGCCGACTGAAGTTGTGAGGATGATTCCGACGGCGATGATAGCGGTTGCGACAGCCATGACAGGACCATAAGCAGGTACACTCGGTCCACCCTCGTCTTTGACGCTGATGTTTTCGGCGAGTGCGTTGACGATCTGGGCAGAAGGGGAGGAAATCATGTTCCCGAGCTGGTAGGTGATACCTGGGAAGGAAGAGCGGAAGGCGACGGGGGAGAGCTCATTGAGGTGGATTGGAATGACGCCCCAGGCTCCTTGGACGAAGAATTGGATTAGGAAACCGGTGGCGGAGAGGGCGTGTTCACCGCTTGGGAGGATCCAGGCTGGAATCATGAGAGCGCTCATGAATGCTGAGCCGATGATTGCACGACGACGACCGACGAATTGGGAGGTGTAGCCAATAACGCATCCACCTACGCAAGCTCCTACTTTCATCCAGATGGAAGCGCGGGATGCAGCTGCGTTGTTTAATCCTTTTGCTTCGCGCATGAATGTGGTGTAGGAGTCTTGAGAAGTGTGACTGGATGATTGTTAGCGGAGAATAATGATCAAGGTGGGTTATCGAGCTTACCTGTAGAAATTGAACCAAGTCATGAGAATGACACAGTAAATGCACATCTTCCATTCCTTTGCAAGCATGACCTTGGTTTCCTTGAAGAAGGCACCAGCAGTGATGTTCTTGTGGCCGTTCTTCTTAGCTTCCAAGAACTGCTTTGATTCAGGGAAACAGATTCTGATGAGTCCGATACCGATGGAGATACCAGCGGCAGCCCAAAAGACAGTCTTCCAAGACTCAACAGCTCCTCCAACTCCCAAGTTGGCACAGGCAGCAAGAACATAACCAAAAGCATAACCTTGTTGTAGGATACCTGACATCAAACCTCTGGCATTGACGGGACAATGTTCTAGAGCCATGGCAATAGCATTACCGTAGACACCACCCATGAAGAGACCGAAAAGACTTCTGACAGCCAAGAACTGTTGGAAAGTAGTACTGTAAATGGTTGCGATCTGTAGCAGACCGAGAACGATCATATTGATAACCATAGGCCATTTTCGTCCGAACTTGTCTCCTGCGAGACCAAAGAATGCGGCACCGACTGAACGGAGAAGAAGGGTCAGAGTGATAGCTGTGGTGATATTCGTGTTAGATTGCTTGTAGTATTTGGCGAATTTGACGGTTTGAATGGAGAGAGCGTGAAAGTCGAAAGCGTCAGCTGTCCATGCTAGAAAGCCGCAAACGAAGAAAAGCCACTTGATAATGTCAGCCTGTGTTCTTCCCAATAGGATATTCCCGATTAATCTTCCGAAGCACAACGTTCGTGCCGGCACATGTTGTGCCTCGCGAATGCATCAACCCGCTCCGAACAAGCTTAAAAAAGTGACCAACTTACATCTCGCGCGCTCAGCTGAGCCATCAAACTGATCGGGTTCTTTAGAGGTTCTGGACTCTGCCATTCCGTGTGTTCCTCTCCAAAATCGTTGGTGACCACAACTCTCTGCTTCCATTTGAACAGATCCAAAAAGCTTTGCTTGGCCGTAGGAATGATGCCCTTGGCGATAGGGTCTGCCGGCTCGTTTGCCGTCGTCATGCTGGGCGAAGACATCTTGATTCGCAAAGTGGCTTTTCGACAAGAGAAATATATTGAAAGCTTGAATTCTCGGCCGCAGAAAATGGCTGAAGTCCCAAGAACGAGGCTTTTTTACCAAGAAGAACAAGACATCCAAGAGTGAACTTTGGGGCTTCTTAAGGCTTTTATGTGTGACCCTTCCAATTGACCTACGGTAGGTCCTCGGATTGCTCCCCGCGATTCACTTCTTCGAGCGAAGCATTCACCGACATGTCACCGTTGAGGATGTGCAGCCAAGGCGGCCAAGTCCCAATGTGAAGTCCAGCCAAGGTGAATTGATCGTTTATCGGAGCACATCGCGTAAGCTTTGTTTGAAGCATCTCGACCTCCCCTCCATCACGCACCCAATAAACATCCTGATGGAGATTGTAATTCTGCGGGGTAACTTGGCAATGAGTACCGCGTCTGCTTGGCTGACGGACAAGCTCCGTTTGCAGGTTAGGTGCGGCAGGAGTTTATGGATCAATCGTGGTTAACATGGACATCGATGCGACGCGGGCTGGAATTGGGAGCCAATTTGAGGTTGTGAGCGACGTTGGATAGCCTCCAGTTGCTTGGGAGATGGATTCATGATAAGTATGTAGTCTAGATGTGGCGCTCAGTCAGTTGCCGGCTCGAATCTAGATTGATGTGTGCCTCCGTGCGGAGGTTTTTTTCTGGGGAGCCAAGAATGGGTGGCTTGCGACGAAACCAAAGTTACGAGTACTCGATTCGGAGAATATTAGGTAGTGAGTAGCAAGAAGTATATGAAAAATAAACATAATTAACCACTGGGAATAGGAATACTAGTCTACAATCGAGTAATGTTCCTGCTTCAACCTCTTTACTTCGAAGTTCCCGTCGTGAAGTCAAGTAGTAAACCTCGCTTATTCGCGGAGTGCATATCTAGTCCCAAGTACCTACCACTGGGTACAAAATGTCAACCTCTGTAGATCTCAAAAAGCACAAGACAAATGATCACACCTCAGTACGCGTACGCCCTGCGATACAAATATCTTGGGGTCTGTGAGACATCAATCGACCCCAAAGCAAAAAGCTCGTGGGATATCTGATCTCCTTGGCTTCAGGAACCTCCAAGAAACGCTGAAACGAAGTAAAGTATCAACACAGACACCAAAGCCGACCAAGACGCTAGAAGTGAAGATTGAAAACTTTTGAAGGAACAGTGAAACTTTTGCGACCGAAAGGGAAAGAAAGGAGCGGTGAGGATGAAGATAGCTCATTATGTGCGACCAGATCTGTATGCAGACGGTTTCTGGCGGAAGTGTAGATAAGAATAAGCAAGTAGGATCTATAGGGAAACATGCATCTAGTCACTAGAGTCTCCGCTTCGGGCAAGAATGCGGAGGTGGGTTCTGTTAGGAGCTTCCGCGACCTAGCTTTCCTTGGACTGTAGAACGTTTGAAACAACCTTGGAAGATAGCATCAGCTCAAATGCGTGGTCCTAAGCGATACATTACACAGATTTATCTTGTGTTGCGTTCTATTTGGTGCGACACAGGGAAAGGATTTCCGATGGTATGGCATCAGAAAGTCTTTCGATCAGTCCATATTAGTTGAGTTGACGACCATGCTGCGTCAAGAATAGCAATCAGAACATTGAGGAACCACAGAAGATATGTTACCCAATGCACTCTCGCACAATCACCAGTTCTTTTAATATCATTCATTACTGATACAAAATTGCAGCTTCAGTCTTAGATCCTCCATCGCACGACCTCACGAGATCCAATCCACGCTAGGATCCCTCGTGTCTACAGAACAGTGGTGACACTCTGCTACCTCACAAGCTCCAGGACAAACTCTCAACCCGCCAGAATTTCTGCTTCCAGTCCCCGTAAACCTTCCATAAATTCCCACTCTATCGACTTCAGGAGTTTGTGGCATTTTCTGCTGAATGATCGCTAGACGAGCGGCTTTACGATCCACAGACTCGGGGCTAAAGCTATCTGCTTTTGAGGTATGATTTGAAGGTATCTCGATTTTCAGGTCACATCTCAGCTCCGTTGGGGTAGGCGGCTGTGGCGATGGACATACAGATGGTGGCCGTACCTTGATCCAAGTACTGGTCTTTTGTGACTTTCTGGCATTGTCCACGGTTGTCACGCATCTCATAACATCAGCTGAACTGGTTTTTCGGTTAGCTGGACATGTATCTATGGAATGACCAATCTCTGGAGACACCGAAGTTCGGGAAGGAGCCTTCGGTTGAATTTGAATTGCTCCCTTGAACTCGATTAGTGGCAGAGTCTCCGATCGAATGATCTTCCGCGGCGCTTCCTCCGTTTCTTGTTGAATGTACCGTGCATATGAAAGCTGTCTTGGAGTGAGTGCCGTAGAAGAGACTCCAGAGTGCCCGCAATGTATATCCAGCCCTAAATCGTAAAGATGTTTTCCATGAGGTTTGGGCGCCATTTCGATTGCAGGGAGAGGTGTATGCCAGTCATTGGTCGTTTTCCTTGGAGGCAAAGGTGGAAATGATATGACATCGGCAAGTTCTGATAGGCGTGTCTCAGAGACAGTGAGTCGAGGTCGCCGTCGTGCATCCATAGCTGATTGTTTCTTTTGTTTTGCGCTTCTCAAAGGGTCTCGAGCAGGTTCTGAATCACTTTTGTTTAACTTCTCGAGGGGTGACTTCTTGGTTTCGAGAATCGAGGAATCCCCTAAGGCTGGTACTAGTGTCGAGGCAGCTGTTGGCGGCCACTCCTGTAAGCCCGGGAAGAACGAAGGCGTTCGAGTGACCGCCTCGAGATAATTCTCAATTTCTTGCTCTTTACTTGCAGCGGCTGGCGTTGGTAATGGAGTGACAGGTTCTGACGTGAAATAACTTGTCTCGGGCAACTTACAATTTCTCAGTGGCGATCCTGCTTGTGAGTTTGGAGGTTTCCAAATCACTTCATGCATGCTCTTTTGTGAGTTGTTGCGCGATCTCTCGGTTGGAGTCTTTGGGGGTGAAAAGCCTTTATGAAGAAAGTCAAATTGCGCAGGCATCTCATCATCAGAGTTACCACTGCTGTCATGGGTGAACATTACTTGATGAAGGCTATGTCTCGGGGAGGCCTGCGACGTTCGGGCTGAATAACCAGTCTGAAGATAATCTTCTGTCCCTTTGGGTTTGCGTACGGACTTTCTCCTGGACCAGCTAGAACGTCGCCGCTGATGGGTTTTCTTGGGGGTCGTAAAATCATCATGAGAAGTTTCAATCGTACTCCCTGCAGGTGTTGATGTCGTAATGATGGGCGGACCGGTGTGAGCAGTGGGGTCCACAGATTTCCGTCTCTGTATCTGTTTATCCACGAGTTTTGTAATTGCTTCTATGTCCTCGTTCGTGATGAGGTATGTACCTGAAGCACGCCTTTGGTATAAGCTCCCAGGGCAATTGTGCTTAACGCCAGCCTTATCCTTATCTTTGCATTCAATGTTTGATAGTGGTGTGCTTCGGTCGACTGAACTTCTCGAAGAAGTAGTTGTTTGTGGAGTACTTGCTCTTCTCAAAGTGATTGATGCTGGTGGTTCCAATGGCTCAACGCGGGTTGATATGACCTTTCGCATCGTCATCATTTGGCGAATAGTACCGACCAAGTCGTCCACGATAGTTAAGCTGAGTTTGCGATCGGTTTCCAGAGAGATGGCAACCTCTTCTTTCTTGACTTTTGCATCGGCGAGAGCAGCCGTTCCAGTAGTCAAAACCTCCGAGATCATTGGTAAAGACTGTTTGTCAATGCGTTTTAAGTGAAATGAGCTCCACCTTCTTGGTTTTGAGGCGGTCTTCTGGTCGAAGAAGGTTGAACTTTCAATCTCTTTGCGCCATGCGTCGTAACTGTTCTGACTACTGCGAGAAATTGTAGAACCAGCCATAAATGCCTTGATTTGCTTCAATCGTTCTCTGGCGCGATGCCTTCTATGACGATGCCTTCGTCTCTCGCCTTCATCCTCAATATTTTCCAGCGATCCAGGTAGTGGCATCGTCCGCGAGCGATTGAGTCTCGGCATCATAGTCAGGCTCACTGAGCTCCTTGATCTAGGTTTGTATGGAGGGCATGAATCATGGTTGCTCATCGGCGGAGGAGACAGGCGTTGAGGGTCGACCGGACTATTTCCTGAGTCGCATGAATGGCAAGATGATCCTCCAGAGGACAGAATTGGACTCAAACGACCATTTGTAGATTTATTCAAATCATCAGACGCCGGACTTGTTTGTTTCTGCGTTGATCGGGGTGACGAGCCGGCTCGAGCCGTGAAGTAACCATCTTGGCGTTGAGGTTTCGTTCCAGGCGGAGTTTGCAGTAATGAATGAGAGAATTTAAGCTGATGATTTGCAACAGGCCGAGGCGAGATTACCTCCAACCGGTTCAGGCCGGTCGCATTTTGTAAATATAAATCATCTTGCGGCGTGGGTGGTGGATCTCCATCTCGACTTGATCCAGATGGCGAAGCGTTATGAGCGTAGGGAGGAGTCTGGAGTACCGCCGGTTGGAAATCCAAAGGAGTGACTGATAGAGAGCTGGGGGAGCTAAGATTTGAAGACATCAGGTTTCGTTAGGTATGTGTTTCTGTCGGGCGCAATGAACATGGTGGATCAAGGAAAGGAATTGAGGATGATGTTAGGAACTGCTAAGGATGTGCCAAAATTTGAACTGGAGAATCAAGATGCTCCAATCTAGATTTGTCGCCGCAAACCAAAACAATGGGAAAGTAGGATGAAACTGGAAGTCACGACCCATTTCTTACCTTGACAAGAAGAAAAGAAGAAGGCAAGAACGATTGCGAACATGAACTATTTCTCTCAACGATACTTCACAGAAGCTGGGGAAGACCCTACAATCAAGCGATAAGAATCAGAAGAAGCGGTCAAGTAAATGATTGGAGTAATGTAGTTGTCAGGTTGATGATACCGATGTCTGGCGCTGGAGGTCGAAGATTCAAATTGACAGAAGTCTGGTCATGTGACAGAGCCTCGATAACTACTAATATTCTGAAATCACGGCAAAGACACTTTTACTTCTCTTACTTCGATCGCATATACCCTTTAAATGCCGAATGATGATGATAATGGCCAGAGATCCTGGAGATTTGGAGCTTCAGGATGTAAACGTCACATGATCAATCTACCCCCTGTTACCGTGTTCCTATACTTTAGACTTGCGGGCGTGGAAATAATCATGATGTTTGATACAGAATGAGAGATTGATCTTTGACGTGAGTCAGGGCACAAGGTCGTAGCAAAACGATAACTCAAGAATGATAACAAATGTCTTCAATGCGTTATTTCCAGGTTGACTGACAAGCAGTGTATAGCGAATGAGAGACTATGAAGACTAATGATTTGGTTTTTGGAGTATCATCAAGTCATCAAGAACCATATGCTCAGCCCAAATACTGTGACATCGCTACACATTTTTCCAAATTTAAGCATTCCATCGATTGTAGTCAGAACTCTTTTCAAGAAGGATTCCAACCAATCGATCGTACTAATATATTTCATTCACCGAACGATTCACCATCTTCCAATAATCAAGCAATACGGTGGATGTTATGACTCGAAATGACATAAAAAGCTGCTAGCGTCAAGTTCCTTGCTCAAAAACATATCAAGATCTGTTGCCTTCATGTCTCTCTTTCAAACCACCACCCCAACCACAAATCTTCGGAGTTGATCCCAACCACAACCACGCAACCCAAAAATGGATCATCCCCAACGCCCAGTAACGCCACCGACAAGACCAGTTGATAACTCGTTTTCGACGTACTCACCGATAACACGCCATGCACCTAAATATTGGGGCCACCCAGACGCTTGGGGCTATTGCTGTCACTGTTCTTGTAAGTTCTCTCTGTGAAATCGACAGCAAGCAATCCGAGTAATGTCATAATAGGCTTCTCACGGGCGCTTAGCGAAAAGTATGCGGATGGAGATGCTTACCGTAAGGCATACGAAAAGCATTGGACCGAAACAATAGACAAATGCAACGATGGACCAAAGGAGTTATTCACACTCTTCCCAAAACTTCCCGATGAACTCCAGTTTCGAATCATCGAATTCGCACTTCCTAGAGGTCAAACTATCCAGCCAATGCCGAAATGGATCGAAGGGGAAAATCCCTTTGACTTACCCTTCCATCTATACATAGTTCCTCGCAGATCCAATGCCGAAGACCATATGTTCGAAAAAACAAAGCCATTCACGAATCCAGCCCTTCTCCAGGTAAACAGGAAAATACGTGCCGAGTTGCAAAAGAAATTCACGCTTCTCACCTTGAGGGTTGGTGAGGATAAAAAGAAGTTCCCTGACCACGACGTGGATTTAATGGCTTATTTCGATTACAAGTGCGACAATGTATCGTTCTTGGAAGCCTGCTACTCGCGACAACTTGTAGATTGCGGACCTACAGCGGCCGAAACACCATTGACGGAATTCGAAAAGCACGTTCAGCATATCACTATTCGCCGTCAGGTGTGTATAGCTATGCGGGAATGGAATTTAGACACGCTTCTTTCAAGGTGTCAATCTCTCAGGACAATCACATTTCCCCGCTCCAGAGACACACACTGCTTAAGACATCAACATATCCAATGTTTGAGTTTTTGCATAGGTCGGGGCCACAAGGAAGGAGAAAGAGGAGAATTGCAGTTACGGAAGTCTTTTGAGCTGTCTGGTAGTACTGTACCGCAAATTATTGACCTCGATGACGATCTTCTGCCTGGGAAAGAACGCGCGATGTTCAGTTGCGATGATGCCGAGTGCTCGTATTGTAGGAGAAACATCGTTCGATAGTGCAGTATGCACCTTGTCAGGCCTTGCACAACCGATCAGCGAAAGACATAGGATCCTGCAATGGATGGAAATTTGACACGAACTGTGCTCTGTCGCGTTGAGTCTCAAATCTTTCCACTTAAATTGAGGTAACATGTGGCCAGAGATCGATAAACTGCCCATGTAAGCTCTAGACCTGCGGTAGAGAATAGGAAAAATGAAAAAAATTGGCCTGACAATGCCCATACACAGAACCTCGGGACCTCAAGTTGGGAAATTTTGCCTTGTCCAAGTATAAAACAAGGAAGGAATGACTGGATGTTTTTGGGCACAAGTAAGCCTAATCGAATTCTTCAAATTCCTTTTCGGAGCTTTGGGTATTCTTTGAACCTGCTTTGTTGTGTGTTTTAGGAATCGAGTCTGCTAGATGGTTTAGCAATAAGAACAAGTTCCAACAGATCCCAGATTACTTACTGAGAAGCCCCCGCCCCGCATCACTTCCACGCATAAGCCTCCACACATCTCCACATCAATCCATCATGAGCAACAAACTCATCTCCAAGCTTCATAGCCTTCCCCAAGTCCTTCGTCCCCAAAGGAGAACCAAGATTCCCCATCACCGCCGTTTCCCTCCAAATCTTTTCATCCTCGCTCCATTTCCACTTCTTCAGCCCAACCTCCTTATTATTCCTCAAAATAGCTTGGACATATCCGCCAATCCTAATCATCATCCCTCGAACAACCGTATCAGGGGTCGCTGTCTTGGTGACTAGTACCCAGCTCTGGAACTGATCTTCTCCTGGTAACAGTACAGAATCTAGATCAGCCCAGCACTCCTCGTATTTTTGCATGTTGCCGGTATTAGGATTGACCATCGCGCCTCGTTCGAGGACTTCATTCGAGCCATCATCTTTGGGGAACATATCGCCTTCATCCATCACCTCGTCGGTAGTCTTGTTATCAATCCAATGAGTCCATTGTGTATGTGCTGGCTTCTTCAATTGTCCTGTTTCGCTGTCGTGTTCTGCGGGTGTGCTATATGCCGTTCCTGCGAACGCCCATTCTAATCGTGTCGGTGGAAGATTGGGGTCGGATTGTGTAATGTTTGAAGGAGACTTAGGAAGATAAATACGGATGTCGATGAAGTATTTAGCCGCGGAAGTCAGAACGAGTGTACTGCGAGTCGGTTAATTCGTATTTCCAGTGGTTGGATGAAGACCGTCGAACTCCGTGTCTTCTCCAGCCTCTTCTCCCTATGCTGCCATCAGTAACAGCCATTGAGCTGCAGAAGAAAGATTATCTTACCTGCCAGTGAATCCACTTTCGAATCGACACGAATGGAGTTGGTGACATTTTGCTTTTCGTGTTGAAGAAAAGATGGTGTTGTGTTGGTGGGGGCGGGGTTGATGTGAGGATACCGACTTTAGCACTTACCAGCTAAACTACTGAATTAATAAAACTCCGACCTGTTATATCGGTGTCTTGTTCTAGGTCCCTAGTACGTAGGGTCTACGGGGACGGACCATCCGGCCATCCTACACCTTCCCCTATGATCCCGGCCCGGCCCGAAGATTCACCCAGCGAAGCGTTCCGGCCGTGGAGGTCATCATCCGTCATTAGAGATCTATGAAATGCCTACCTAGACCTGGAAAGGGTATGATCGCGAGAAGAAGATGATAGTAAATCGTTCAAGAGTATTCAATTTAGCGAACCTTTCGGTTCGAATAAGATTCCGTCGTTATAGAAGTATAATAGTGATAAATACGAATTGGGATACGTACCAGGTAGGCAATCTGTAAATTGTTACAAAGGGGAACAGTAGATAGGAAGGGCTGACCTCGCGGGAGACGACTTTACGCAATATTTGAAATGTTGGATCAGAGATATGACAATCAATTCTTGAAATTAACATGGTATCATAATATTATACAATAGTAGAGGAGAGGCATAAGGCAGGACGCTTGAGCAACAAACACACAAAAGCATACCTAATGGTAATCCAACCCAGGTGGTGCTCTGACCCGTAAACCGTTTCTCCATCGCCCATCGCCAAAAGACCAACGCCCCATATATTAATAGCTTTTGTACAAGATTCCTCCCCTTCAGATCCTAATTTGTCGTTGCACTCTCATGCAACGCGGCACCAGATGCTCGATACCAAACATCTCCACCCCATCTCATCAATCTCTCGACGGCTTGGGTTGGTGTGACCGCTGGGCGAACATCGAGGTAGAACACTGGTTCGCCGGTAGGCTCAGGTGGACCGGAATAGTAGTCGATGACATATCGAATTTCTTGCTTCTTGCCGTTATGTTCTCGCTGGACAAACCAGTCGTGTCGATCGAAGGGGGGTTCCGTTCTGAGATGATTAGTATACATCTGTAATATAGAGACTTCTACTTACCCAAAAGCGGACGGGTAGATCTTGCCCATAACCTGAATCATGAAAGCCTTTGGAGTCATTTCCTTCGGTCGGCCCATGAATCTCATCAAACTGGGCTGTGGGACATGGTCAACATCAAGCCCCATATCCGCACTCGCCATCGAGCCTGCCTCTCCTCTTTTACAGTTCTGCCATCCTTTGCTGAGACCCTGACCAAATCTGCGCTCCCACTCCACGATTTCCGCCCAAGCACCCTCGTTTAAGAAGTTATGCACTGATACCATATCCTCGACAGCGGTGACATCTGTATCCGTAAATCCTTTTCTCAGCAGAGCATTGTACATCTGCTGTGGTGAAGGGTACTCCCAGTTGCCTTCGCCGCTTCCTCTTGGAATGGTGGACGGTTCGCGCTCGGTGGGAAGAGCGACGGCTTGATTCTCGGATTTGTCTTGGGACAGGTCGGAAAACATGTAGTTCAGGGGGTTGTACTTGGAGCGCTTGCTGCTGGGTTTCGGCTCGTCAACTTTTGAAGCGTTCGGGGGGGTATATGGACAGGCGGATTCCGTGGAAGATGGTGCTGTGACTGCTGCCGGCGCACTGCTCTTGTGCATGGGACATGCGGGCTGTCGATGAGTTAGCAAAAGATGAATATAGTTGAGCGGGAGTAGTAGTCTCACTGGAGGTCTTCCATCACTGCCAGCGGATATGGCATGTGGAATCTTTGGGATTGAGGATTCGATGATTGGAGATTCTGCCCAAAACCATCCCATGATGCTGTATGAATGCCGCGAACCGGGGCAGTATGAATTCGTGAAATGGGAGGTGTTGAGTGTCGCGATGTGACGATTGTATCGGTCGATGAGAAATTACAATAGGTGAAGGCAAAACTTCTGACACTTGGTCAAGATATGCTGAGGTATTTGAGGAAGGCAATTATTCTTGAATCGACAAACTCGCTGCTGGGGGACTGATGATGGTCTGGCCAATGGCGCATTGGGGCAAACAAATCATTTTCTTTTTAGCACTTATCGGGCCGGAATTTTCCGCTCTCCGACTCTCTCACCAGGGGGTGACATAACTGCGCAGCCAGAAACTCTAAGTAAGGTTTTAACAACGAAACAATATCCAAACTTTTTAATTTTTTGATCGGATCGTAGTTTTAAGCCTCGCAAATAAGCCTATGTTAACAGAAATACGATATTTAGCTATGACGCTGAGTTATCCGCTTTCGAAGTTGGGTGCGCAGAGAATTGTGTCACCCACTGGTGTCTGGCCGAGAACTCGCAATCCGCAATAGGTACGTACACCTACCTAGGTAGTCATGAATGTTCTCTACGCTTGCTGATATTTGAATCATATGTAAAACAACTGTGCTACTTAATTTTTTTTTAACTCTAGACGAATATAAGACATATTTGAACATTGTTATTGAGCGAATGTCGAAGGGCTGCCTTTGAGTGCTTTTACCTGACGTCACTACCTAGTCCCGTTGTTTCTCTATCACGAGCAAGCTCCCAGGAACCTGACAATACACCCTACACCCTACTGCATCTTAATGGAAAACCGATAGCACCCACCTCTTATACGTGACTCTGCAAAGGAACATGAGGGTTCTCTTGAACAGAGGTCCAATATGTCGCGGATTTCTGCAGTCATTTCCTCAGTTCCGGCCCTCCTCCCAATGTCGCATCCAACTCCGGACGATCGCGAAACGAGCATATGGAAATCGGGGGGGATATAGTGGTCGATTCCGAACGCCTCCTCGGTTTCGAGGACTGGTGCTTGCCTCGGCGGCGACGCTGAGTCCAATTGCCTTTGTCCAGATATCCGAGGAAGACAACGGGGGAACAAATGAGACCCATGAAGGGCGGATGCTGGAAGCGTCGAGGGAGGAGATCAGGAAGAAGGTGTCTGAAGACAGTCATGGTATAGGACGGATATGGGACAATATCGTTCTATTTGCAGACCTGTACATCTGGGAGCCGGCTTGTACGGGGGCGCGCTTCCTGCATCTGTTAGTGATTTTCGTGCCAGTGATATTCACAATACCCGCGATATGGATTGGTCCAAGGCAGAAAGACAGGGACAATGAGAGGTCTGGCACGATATGGTGGTATTGGTTTCTGGTCAAGTCTATGGAACGTGCTGGACCTGCTTTCATCAAAGTACGCACCCCAAATCATGGCTAGAGCGCTGCTAATCTTCGCAGCTTGGTCAATGGGCAGCATCTCGAACCGACATATTTCCGACAGAGATGTGCGAAGTTATGTCACAATTGCATTCCCACGCTCCAGCCCATACTCTCCACAAAACGAAACAAATCATAACTCGCGCTTTTGACGGGCGTCCATTCGAGGATATCTTTGAGGAATTCGACGAGGAGCCATTAGGTGTTGGAGCTATAGCACAGGTTTACCGGGCCAAACTGAAACCAGATCTTGCTGCGCCAGGAGACACCGACCTAGAGGAGCCCAGGAACTTACGGCAGAATGTACAGAAGAATGTAGACACTCTGCTGAAAAGCACTCCTCACAGAGTGCCATCTACCTATGTTGCAATCAAAGTTCTGCATCCCGGCGTAGAACGCATCGTCAGACGAGATCTGAAGATAATGGGTTTCTTCGCAGCGGTTCTCAATGTCATACCAACCATTGAATGGCTATCATTGCCCGATGAGGTCGAACAATTTGGTGAAATGATGAGATTACAATTGGATCTGAGAATTGAGGCAGCCAACCTAACCATATTCCGAAAGAATTTCAAGGACAGAACCACAGCGTGGTTTCCATACCCGTATACTGCCTTTACCACACGGCAGGTCCTGGTAGAAGAATTTGCTCAAGGGATCCCTCTCTCCGATTTCATGGAGAATGGAGGAGGTGTGTTCCAACAAGAAATTGCAGACGAAGGATTAGATGCTTTTCTACGAATGCTGTTACTGGACAACTTCGTCCACGCTGATCTTCACCCGGGAAATATCATGGTTAGGTTTTACCAATCAGCTCATCCGCATTTGCCATTCAGCAAGCATAAGGATGAGAATCCCCAAGAACAACCAGATGTGACAGAGAAAGTCTTGGCCCGGCTAAGGCCATATCGACACAAGAAAGATACGAAAGCATGGGAGGCAGAACTACAGAAAATCGACAGCGAGGGATTCCGGCCACAATTGATATTCATTGATACTGGACTGGTGACTGAGCTCAATGCAATCAATCGCAAGAACTTCTTGGACTTGTTCAAGGCTGTAGCCGAATTTGATGGATATAAAGCTGGACATCTCATGTGCGAGAGATGTCGACAGCCGGACGCCGTAATCGATCAAGAGGTCTTTGCCCTCAAGATGCAGCACCTCGTCCTCGGAGTGAAAAGCCGGACATTAGCTCTCGGCAACATGAAAATTGGCGACATCCTAAATGAAGTCCTCGGCATGGTCCGTGGCCATCATGTGCGAATGGAGGGCGATTTCGTCAATGTTGTTATAAGCATACTTTTGCTAGAAGGCATTGGTAGGAGCTTGAATCCCGACATTGATTTACTCTCAAGCGCATTACCGATATTACGACAGCTTGGTGCACAAAGTGGAGGTGGCATGTTGAGGCAAGGAGACTTTTCCATGTTGAAGGTTTGGGTCGGGCTGGAGGCTAGGAAATTCCTCCAGGCCAGCGTGGAAGACGTAAGTTGGTTTCCCATTGACCCGTGAGACATACTGACAAAAAAACAGGTCGAGAGATGTGTCAAATACGATTTACTCTCTCCGAATGTATAATATTTATTCTTTCCCCAAATGGGATATAAAAGGTCTTCACGGTATCTACTGGCGCACAGGTTTTGTATATATGGATAGAAGCCTCAAATTTACTCTTCGTCTTACGAATTACGCAACATGTGGGATGGAAAACAAATTTGAGCAGAACGCATTCATATATGTTAGCTCATTCGATTAATCCTGTTTCATTCACAATCAAATTCAACAATAGGCCGGGATGCAAAATTGTGAGCAGTCTAAGCCCATGGCTTGTTGACATTACCACTGAGGGCGCTCCGAGTAACTCACTTACAATGCTGCAAATGAACACGCTGTTGAGAAACATCTTGGCCCCCGTTTCTCCTCTTGTTTGGTCATTCGTTGTTTTCTATATTCACCCCCTCTTGGAGGTCCGTCGCCATGAATCAGATTCATTGGCTCCACAGCTGGAGAGCTATAACTTGAATAACTACCCTTTCTGAAGGAGCTTTGACACTGACACATGATTCAGGGGCGCCATCTCAAATTCAGGCTTCGTATACAAAAGCCCATAAGGAATGCACCATGTGTTCTATCACTTATTTGCTTTGTTGCCAAGCTATGATTCGAAGTCTTGTCCTTGGAAACACTCATTCAAGTTCCTACAGTCTGCGTCTGCTTCACTCTCCTCCAGAGTCCTAGAGACGAATCGCTGCCATGACTATGTCAGAACGAATCCCTACCACACATACCTCACAAAGTCACAGCGAAATGCTTGGGTCATCAGCAAGTCCAGCATCCACGCCCTCTCTTCCTCCCACCTCGACTCCGTATCACAGCGATGTCCGAGACAGAAACCCCTACAACTCCCAGCTACAGCCAACCACACCCGAGGAAGACGGAAACTACTCCGTGTTCAGCAGTGATAGTTCTACTAGCAACTCAGACCCCGACTTTGCAAGCAGCAAAATATTTAGGAAGCGTCTTGCTCGTCGGAAGGACATGGGTATTGTGACTGGGAAAGGTACAGTTACAAGAGCGCGTGGTTTGTTGGCTGCGCCTAATACGAACGTGGCACAAGTAAGCAGCTGTGAAGGCAGTTTTGTTGATGTTAGTTTGTCCGAGGGCTCAGAAGGTAAATGTGCCTCTGAAAAATGCATTCTTTTTGTAATGGCAATCGGCTGACTTATTCTCTTGAACAACAGAAAACGGTAATGCAACGTCATTGAAAAGACTCTCCAGCAAAGGCTTTCCCGATCCGTCGAGCTCGCTGGTAGGTAGCCAGAACAGATTTGCGCAAGGGAATTGGCCCTTGTCGAATGGTGGAGGAGTGCCTGTGAATGTTGCGCACGTCGAACAACTATTTGCATCTGGGGCATCAGGGGGCTCGCTTAATACTGCTCAGTCCGGACGAAACGGCAATGAATTTAGAACCACTGCAGACGTTCATGGCAAGAATGAGGCTTCATCTACAAGGTTTCCACCGCAAGTTTCAGCGCCTTCTACACCCAGAGCACCAGGAGTAGTATACAGTATAGATCACCACAATCCTCTTAGATATAGTATACATTCAATACGGAGCCAAGGTATATGAAATCTCCAGTTTTCATCATATAACAACAACAACAACAACTAACCTTTCTTGTCTAGGATCAAATTATCACTTCAGTCCAGGACACTCGAGAGCGGCTAGCTTTCAGTCTTCGGTTTCTAGGGTCAGAGCTCCACCTAAACATCTTGGTGAGCGTAAGTTCATTGATCTAGCTGCTGCCCGCAGTCCCTTGGGAGACCATACGCAAAGGTTGACGGATAGCGGGATCGCTGCGCAAGAAAATCGTACTGTGCCTCGTATATTTCAGAAACCAGACCCGATCAAGGGGCGTGAGCCTGAACAGACCTCCGGAAGCAGGAACCCTCTCGCGGGTGCAAAATACTCTACAGAATTACAAACCTCCTCGTCGACACTGCGGGAAAGGCCTATCAAACCGCCTCCTCAGCAGACTATCCTAAATGCCTCTTCGAAGCCAACTCAACCAGATTCATCATTATCCAATGCAACAACACCTTCAAAGAATCCCCCACACGAAGCAAATCTATCACTCTCCCTCCACTCCCCCACCACCTCACGCCAAACGAGCTTCCTCCCACCCTCAACCCGCCAAACCAGCCCTCTTCCACCATCCCACCAACCTACCACCCCAACCCCCACAGCACCACCCTCCCTCTTCGCCCACTCAACAGACACAACCCTCCTCAACACCCCCCACCACCCCTCCATCTCCTTCCCCCCCTCACCCACACCCGCCAACCCTCTCCCTTCCCCCTCCCACCCCCCAGCACCCTCACCTACCTCCGCACCACCCACGACAACCTGCACACACGCACCCAAAAAACCCTCACCAGCCACGCAAAACGCGAAGCCCGAATCCTAGCCTCGGCCTCCAAAAGCCGCGACCTGCTCGCCGCCGCGCGCCTCGAACACCAGAAAGACCAGCGCCGGAGGGCCATCGACGCGCAGTTCGTCTCCTTGGACGAAGCGTCGCGTTTCTCGTCTCGGTATCCGGTTTTAGTGAATCGCGGGATCTGGCTGTCTGCTATTTTGTTCGAGACGGGGTTGTTGTCGCTTGCGCTGTCGATAGCGAGTGTGATATCACGGGCGAAAGTTGATAGGGGCGCACTGCTGGTAGGCGAGGCGGGATTGGCGTGGGTGGTTGGGAGTTTGGTTGTCGGGTGTATTGGGGTGTTGCTTGCGGGGATATTGTTGTTTAAGGATGGAGCGTTTCTCTGGGTGAAGAATCGGGATGTGTTTGGGTTGCATGAGGTTAGTAGTGTGAATTCGAGGCCGTTTGGGGTGGGGATGGGGAGGGGGAGGTTTATGACGCCGAGGGTTGAGGGGACGGGGGTTGATATGGTGGAAGCGGGGAGGGGAGGGGTGAGGGTTGCGGGACGAGATGCGTTTAGGAATTCTACGCTGGTGAGACCGCAGCTTGTGCATATGATGTCTGCGCCTGCGAGTTTGGGACGGGATAAGACGGTTGTGGATGGTTCTCGAGAACCCAAATCGGATACAGTCCAGCTAAATAGGCACAACACATCTCAACACTCCTCCCTCAACCTCGCCGTCCTGCCGCACCCGAAAGTCAAACCCAGCTCTCCGACACTGAAGACGCCTACCTTCCCAAGCCCACTCCATACCCGAGGACCTCCTATAAAAACATCAGGGAACTGGGAGACAGGCATCCCGCTTGAAGAGTTGAATCGTGATGGTTCCCTTTTATCAACCAGGAGTGGAGGGAGAATCGTTCCGAGGGACAATGTGAGAGGGAGAGTAGAGAAAGAGAATCCATTTGCTGATTCGTGGGCTGTGGTGTGAGCGTGGATGAGTTGGTGATGACAGAGGTCCGGAAGTAACTTTATATGATGGCATATCAAGTGGAAAGTCAGGGGAGGAGATGATTTGCAGTTGGGGAAATCCACCTCAAGTCAGAGCAGAGACGGTGCCTGCAATCATTTCAAGTGTGTCGAGTTTAAATGTAGAAACCGTAAATGGTATGAAGTAGTAGCGAATATTTAGCAATACACACAGCGAGAATTACACGACTCTTAACATTTCATCCACTCCGAAATTTTAAATCGTGCTCATACGCTATGCATACCATTCCATGCAAATACAATATGGATATCATATCACCAGATCATGCCGCTAAACACTCAAATCATAAAGCCATCCATCAATCAAACAACCCTATCACTCCTCTTCTTGTTCTCCCTATGTCTCTTCTCCTTCCCCGCGACCCTCCTCCGCTTCTTCCACGCACGATTAGTATCGCCTCTATGTTCATAAAACCATTTCTGAAAATCGCTTTCCTCTTCCTTCTTTTCATTACCAGCCACCGCCTTTTCCTTGCCTTTCTCTTTACTACTTTCCGCCTTGCCTCTGATAGGTGAACTTGGTGTATCGTCCTCATCATCGTCGCGTGATGAGGGCCAAAGAAAGCGTTTGCTCGCATGGGCGGTATCTGGTGTTGGTGCTGCGCTTCTTAAACCGCGGTATTCGAAATCTCGCTGGGTGTATGGGGTTAGAGGAACTTGATCAGTGGCTTCTTCGGCTTCAGACTCATTCTGGGCGTCGTCTGTGCCAAAGAAAGAGAATGATTCTGTAGCTGGTTTTGGTGCGGTTTCTGTGCCCGTTTTCTGACGTTTGTAAAGAGCCTCGAGGGGGTGTATTTCTGTTGTTGTTGGTGGTGCAGGGATTTTGATTGAAAGGTTTATCGGTGGGCCAGAAGATGATTGGGGACGGGATATTGGACGGGAATCTGTCGCACTTTCGGGGATGGACATTGAAATATCTTTGTCAGCTTCATCGTCATCGGAAGAAGAGTCAGTAGAATCATCTGAGTCGCTCTCGGAATCAGACGAGCTTGACGTCGGCGACTCTGCTTCTTTCTTTGTGGTGTCGGGTATTGTGGGAGGTGTTGCTTTGAGTATTGACGTGACGGCTGGCGCAGCAGTTTGGGCCTCCGCTTCATCTTCTGAGCTATCACCGTCACTTGAGCTTTCACCAGAAGGGCTATCCTCCTTCTCTAACCCCGGCGCTGATGCCGATGGCTCAGATTCTGGTTCCTCTTCCAAAGAACTGTCTTCGTCGCTAGAGCTTTCGCTGGAAGTGCTATCCTTCTTCTCTATTACTGACGGTGATGCCACTTTCTCGCTTTCTACTTCCTCTTTCTCAGAGCTGTCCTCAGAACTAGAGCTTTCATCCGAACTGCTTTCCTCCTCAATGACCGGCTCTGGTGTAGCCTCTTTCCTTTTCCTCTTCGGTTTATCCAAACTCACAACCTTCTTCGTCGTCTTGACCACCTCATCCACCACATTGCCCTCCTCGTCAACCCACCCTTCGCCCTCTACAAACTCTGCTGATACCGCCTTTTTACCACTTGATGTCGTCTTCAAAAATGTAGGATATTTTGTCGTCTTTGAGAATTCGTGAACCACTGTCTCTTTCCCGGGCTTTCCTCTCTTCTTCTTGTCCGGCTTCTCTGTAATCTTCGACACAGACGCAACATTGGGTGGTACAACCGTCTTGAAAAGGCATTCCGGCCCCGTAGTATATTTCGACTTTATTTTCTTCTTGTCCACCTCCTTATCCTTCAACTTTGTCGCAACTGGCGTTGTCCAGCCTCTCTTCACCGATCTCTCCCCAATCTCAGCCCCGGGTATCGCATCATCGGTCCTCTTCCTCTTCTTCGAATGTTTCTTTTGCTTCTTGGGCGCTTCGGGCTCCTCCTCGACTGCGACGTCCAGCTTCTTTTCCGGCCTGGCCTTTTCAATTCGGATCTTGCTCCCCTTTAGAATCGCTCCATTGAGCTTCTTCTTAACTTTCTCGGCGTCCATGACTGGCAGATCCAAGAATCCGTAGCCTTTCTCAGGAAAAGTCGCAATCGTGTGGTAGGAAATATTCCGCGCGCTGGGGAGGACCGATGGTGGGAGGATAGCTCGCAGAAGGCTGGGGTCCAGAGGTGTTATGTGCAACCTTGTGTATGTCGCGGTCGCAGATACAGGATCAAGAGCGGTTGCCATATTACCTAGTTCATGGAGAGCCGCAGTAGGACAACGGTGCGTTGTCATATGCGAGTGGAAGGTCTGGCTGGATGCAAGCTCCTGGAGGCGGAAAGAGCTTGAAGATTTCTGCCGGCTAAACTCCGACCTCGCCCAGCCTTGCGATGCAGTCGAAGCACGATAGTTCTTCGATCAAGTTGAGGAAATATCGGCATTTAGTGTATTGACTTGGAACAATATGACTTGTTTCATCGATTATTTTACGTCAGTAAGACTTCTTAAGCTCTGATCGAAGTCGATTTATTGAGTCCCAAAATTAGTACTTATTTTGTCCTCCGCGAGCCCGCCCAGCGAAAGAGTGATACAAAAAGTTCACTTGTGTATGTAAAACAACAAGTGAACTTCATATTCTAGCTCATGATTGTAGAAAAGAAACTGATTATACCTATAGGTCATAATCACAAATATATAAAATAAAATAAACAAGAGTAAAAAGTGCGAAAGACAAATACTGTGTAAATTCGAAATCTAGCCCACGACCTGTTAAGAGAAGCAAAAAACCAAAAATTCTGCCAGAACACATTTGCTATCTCACCCCCAAGATCAATGGATCAAAGATTATTTGAACAAGCCAAAGCCAAAAAGAAAATGGAGACAGGGGGAATTGAACCCCCGACCCTCTCAAATCACGGTGATGCGAATGAGATATCATACCCCTAGACCATGTCCCCATTGGTTGATAGAAATTAGTGCTTTAAGATAACATATAAAGCAAAAAACGTTTCTCAGCCAATAGATCCACTTTCAAAACCCCAAGCTCGACCGGCAAAACACATCTTAACATCATTAACCATTACAAAATTACGAACACAATAATTAATCTATAAATAGTCCTTTCTTTGCAGCTTTATTTATTTCGTATTGTCGTCCAGGTGTATGACCCTCCTTCGATAACGCGATCCATGGTTATGACGACAAACGATGCGATTTCACGCCTCCAGGTCTTGGTCTCCTCTGCCTTACTAATTCAATTTGGTCCAGTCTTTCGAGCGCTATTATTTCAAACAGGCCATGTACTGCATGGTGGACTGACTTGACAGCAGCAAGATCTTCATCGTGGCTTCTTTGATTATTCAGCGTCTGTCGCAACAATTTCGAAAACAACTGCAGTCTTCCATGCCGACATCGCCTGGAAAACTTTCAAAGTCAATAGTGAAACTTTCGAGATGAAAAACAAAAAGTTCTTGAGAATATGATGGTCACGAGTTTTATCTGGGCTAGGAGATCCAGAAAATCTACCGTCGATCGAAGGCTAACGGCGTCCATATTCTTGAACCTATTTTTCTCTACATTTTGGTTTCCGCCTTCTGTGTCAGATGCCTTTCTCATAATAATTCCCTAGAATCTGCCCCATATCAGACGACCTAATCTCTCCACTCCTTCCACGATCTCGCTCACGTCTTGTCGAAGCCTTCTCACAACCTTCATTTTATACTTTTGGGGGCTTTGCTAACGTGCAGTCGCTTTTTTAATCAAGCGAAGTGGCTATATTATAATGTGAAAGAATAGGGTCGGTACACCTACTATACTAAACTTAAAAAGTAATTATATAAGACGCTATATACTAGATTTAAAAACATTACTCTTACAGAAACAGTCACTGCAAAATTTCGAACATCGGCTAAGCGAGACCTCTTGAATTTTCCATTTGTTTATATCGCAAGTCTCCGCAGTATTGTCTAAAGTGACGAAGGTCAAGTAAGTATGAAGAGATAGCAGTTTAATGTGTTTGTGTATTAGTAAGGGCTAATCCGGGAAATATTCTGTGTCTTTCAACACGTCTGTGGCACCTGTCTAGTCTGCTGTCTTTCTTTCTCACTTCGAATGAGAGACGTCCTAGAGTTCAGACTGATGATGGCTTAAATGTCTTGGATCAGGACACGTTACTGTCACTCATAGACTTATTTCCTCTCAAACCCGAATCAAGCACATACCCTCCTCATCCCCCAAACCAAAACAAGCTTTACCCCTCCTCGTACGCCAACCTAAACCTTCACGTCCCCCTCCCCCTTCTGACTCTCCCCCTCACTACCCACCTCCGTAACCGCCGCACTCAGATCCCTCCCCAGCGGATCATGCGTCTCATCCCAAGCCGCCACCTTCCCATTCGGCACCTTCACAAGCCGATGCGTTGTCGCTCCATTATCAAGCGTAAGTACCTCTTGACGAATCGCATACCCGCCAATTTTAGGAAGGATGTAGACCCAAACCCAGTAGTACAGGCCGCAGAGTACAAGTCTAAGTCCGTAAGAAGACGGCGGGGAAGACAGGTGAAAGAGAGGACTTACATAGCAATACCAACGACGATATAAGTACCATACCAGAACGACACATCGCCTCCGTACCGCCCAGACGCGGGAGGATACCAAGGCATGATAAGGAGGAAGAGGTTAGTAAGGACGTTAAAGACAACGACGATATCCCAGGCGCGGAATTCGGATCGCGGTACGCCTAACTTCTTGCGTCTGTGACGGACGAGGTAGAGTCCTACTGCCATGGTGACGTTGAAGAATGCCGAGGGGTAGGATTGGAGATTCACAACTGCACAATCATATTAACACACAAACCAGATTAAGAACTTGTGGAGGGGCCATACTAAAATTAAAAGCATCCCCCGCCGGCGGCGCCAAAATCATGAGGATCGTCAGCGCCCACTTCACGAAATACGGCCCCGTCGGCGTCCCAAATGGCCTCGTCGACGCCCAGAACCTTGGATAAGGGAGCACGCCCTGGCGACCGCATTCTCTGATCAATCTTGACGAGCCGAGCTGCACGGCGATCAGGTTGCCGAATGCGCTGAGGGCGATGAGGAAGTTGAGACCGCGGACGGCGCCGCCTTTGCCAAAGACTTTTTCGAAGAAGAGGCTTGCGGCTATTTGGGTTGATTTTTCGATTTGCGATTTTGGTACTGAGGGGTTAGCTTGTGGTGGGAGAGGGGGGGAGAGGGTCGGTTACTGGCGGAGAAGTAGGCTATGTTTGCGAAGATGTAGAGGATTGTAACGATGAAGAGGGAGATGAATGAGTTGCGGCGGATGGTTTTTACGGGATTCTATGAAATCTTTTGTTAATTTTCTGAGTAGTTGAACGGTTTTAGGCATCTTGCCTTGATTTCATTGACGACGTTGAATGCGTTTTCGTAGCCGGCGTAGGAAAATATGATTTTTACAAGCGCGTTTGTCACCCCATATGGTGTAGTTTTAGAAGACTCAAAAGCGTTTTGGAAGTTGGCTGTTGGGTTTTTGACGGAAGTGTTGCCTCCTAAGACGACGAGACCTGTGATAGCGACGCTGGTTTGGCGTTAAGGCAGGCCTAACATATGGAGATTCGGGTATTCTTACAAGATCAGAGTCAACAGCTTGACGATACCAATACCATTAGATAGCCAATATGAGTATTTCGTGTTAAACAGGAGGACTGGCATTTCATCAGTGGTTAATTTCCCGAGTAATAGCAAGAGTGACCTACGAAGAACCACAACACTATACCCGGCAATCGCCACACCCTTCAACTCCCAATCACTAGGCGCATGCCCATCTATACGGAACAAATACCGTGCGAGCACTATCGAATTATCAGCCAATCCCCACTCAGTACGCCTCTCAAACATACCAATTGCATTACTACTACTAAAAGACAACAAAACAAACTGCGCAGCAAAAGCAGTTGGAAAAAGATACTTCGGTCTCGGAAAAGCTTGCTCAAGATACACAACCTCAGAACCCGATCGGTTCGGAAAGTACGAAGCGTATTCTAGATACACGCTTAAAGAACTAGCTGCGATCAGAGCGCCGAGGACCCAATATATCATGCTGAGGCCTACTGAACCGGTGCCAACGAGCACAGAAGCAGCTAGAAATATGTTAATTGGTACTCGCATCAGGGGACGAGGAAATACTGACGAGTAGAGTAAACACCCGTCCCCACCATTTTACTCATGTTCAAGAACAAGATCGTGACAGGACCAACTGCGTATCCGAGAGGCGAATGCACTTCCACAGGTGCGCCGGAGACTTCCTGATATGAAGGCTGCGATCCATTTCCACCTTGTTCAATAGCATAGTTCAGATCGCCATCTGCGACGAAATTTGCTCTTCCAGTATCGATACCAGTTGTTGTCGCTTGAGTTTCATTTTTTTCTCGTCCGAAACGGCGGAGGAATGACATGGCTGTGATGAAGTAGGATAGACTGGGGATTCCAGTGCCGGTATTCCAGCAATGTGGTTTTAGGGTCATTCTTATCTTATAATCTTAACTGTAAAGTGCAGAACCTCAGCATACCATTCGAAGCGCAAGGATAATTACTCATTGGTGATCCTGATTGCACCATCATGATCCCACTACCAAGGTCGTGTTAACTTCCATATGCAGTAGACAAGCATTGAATACATCGTGCAGTGGTCGAATGATATATGTGATATTGACAAGTCTGCTGGGGTTGCAGAGATGTCGTGTTCTGACGACATGTCGCCGTTGAATTGTCAAATTGTCGCCCCTGTAAGTACATCAGATGCAACGTGCTGATCTGCATCAATTGGTATCTAAATGGGTAGGGTATGCAAAAGTGTCAATTTGGAAGGTTGCACGAGATAATCAGTATGGCGAATAACTCTAATTCGAGTAATGCATGTATAGGAGCCGGGCGATACCAGGGTGAGGAGGAGCTGCACAATCAACAGGAATGTTCCTGTGTCATAGGAATGACTTCTGGTAAATTATGATATAACATTCTGAGATATGCCTCCTCTTGAAATAATCATATGTGTGTAAACTATATTCACGTTGCATCGTAAAATAAAGTTAAGTTCAAAACGAGATATGCTCGCTATAACGCAACCTACTGACCTGGCTTCTCTTCTTTAGCTTGACCTCGACCTGAACTTCTAATTCGAGGTTCCAGAGGGAAGACTTGATTCTCTGGAGTCACTCCATCATATAGCTGGCTCCAACGTTCAGATAGTACCTCAGGTGTTGGCCAAGCATGTTCAGGATCTCGAAGCCACAAGCGAATCAAATGTCGTCTATTTAAACATATCAGTTATAAAACATAATCGAAAATGCTAGTGTGGACTCATGGGACGTACTGCTGCTCAGGCGTATCAACAAATCCATCCCGAGCGTGGAACAATGCCAAGTTATTCACATACTGAATATCCCCCTGACGAACATCAAGACCGAGATGAAAACGCTCTCCAAGGTAATGCAATGCATCAAGTGCTTCAGCTTGAGCCTCTGTAATAGGTGGGATGTTGGCCGATCTTGGGAGAGCCTGGTAGCCAGTGAAAATACGACGTGCATATTGAAGTATTACTCTTTCAGGAGTCTTGTCGGTTGATGGCTGGTGGAATAGGAGTGGCTTGAGAAGGTATGGTTTCTGTTTATTTTCAAAACTGGTGTGAAGTCAGTTTTTGCGCGGTTTGCAATAGAGGTGTTTCCTTGGAGTTGTAACTCACTTATCAGCAACCCATGTCTCGGACAGGGTGCGGATGAGATCAGGTCTAGTAGCAGCAAGCTCGTTGTAAACGCGCCAGGTACTAGCAAGCTTACTTTGACCGCCGGAAGCGGAAGTATTCAGAGCGAACAACGATACAACGTCACCGGAGTCCGTATGAAAGACCTGTTTGTCCGCCGTATATGCAGGGGCTCCAATGAGACTCTTGTCGACAACCAAACTGAGGTCTTTGATGTGGTTTAGCACAACATCGGCTGGCTTGCCGTCGAAGGTGTTGTCTTGCCGCCCTCGCTGGGGTGCTACGTGAGATGATACGCCGGCGTAGATGATGATATTTTCTTCCCGTGTATGCTTTGTCACTGGAAGTCCTCGAAGTACCTTGAATCCGTGACCATAATGAATTTCCGTGGAGATGTCCCGTAAAATTGAGTGTAGCTTAGGTAAAGGAAATGTTTCTTGGCTGATGAATCCCAGCGGCTGGTTTAATGCTGAGGTTCGATAAGACATCATACTCCAAGGACATATTGAGACGGGATTGGCTTTACTTACATTTGAAGTGGCCAAGAGCTTCTTCTATCTCAGCAATTTCCTGATCATTCAACTCATAAACCCATTGATAAGTCTTCTCCAAATCTTGATCCTCCCATACAAAATCCGACACAAGAGTTTTGGGAAACCCTTCAGGGAGCGGCTGTTCATGAAGCGGTTCCTTTTGAAGCCGCCTTTGAGTTCTGGCCAAGTACTTGTCAAGATCAGGAGCGTAATCGATGTCTGGTTGACCAGCGGGACGGGACGTTTGAACGGCAGCCATTGTGGCGTTTGGGAATATCCTCCAAATAGCTGGCCTGGAGGGTGCGACTTATATCCTTTCCCACGAGCGTACAATTGAGGCTTACGCAGCTTTAATGCTGGGTAATTGATCGTCCACGTATCGTGTGCTAGGTGCCCACCCCTCAGTGCCGTCACCACCCATGAGCATGATGCAATGAGCTAAGAATTTGGGACGGGTTGTCGTCGAGTTGTAGCAGTGATCAAGAGGTTAAACATACCATAAAATCAATCAGAGAGGACTATACATCTTTTTCTCCACCCTTCGAACTTTTGACTTACATTTCATTCAAGTTAACGTCGACATGAACGTGGTACGCTAGCATCTAGTTGTGAGTGATATTTGTGGGGCCCGACCCCATTCTCAACCAACATCCACATTCAACTTCACTAACCACAACCTAACACTGTAAATCTCATTTGTCTTTCCATAAATCCTCAAGAAGATATCTGATATTTTTTCGCTCCTTCACCCTATATTTCTCAGCCCGTCTATTCTCTCATCCCGCACTCCCCTCTCGTCACACTTCACATTGCAAATAATCAGAAGTCCTAATATTTATCATATAGTAAGCAGCATGTCATTGTCGAGATGAGGTGTAAATGCATTCGAAAGCTTGGAATGCTATCACATGTAATTTTAGGTATGTTATGAAAAAAGGTTTCCTTGCAGACAAAGGTCTTGCTTTTAGATGAACAAATATATCGAAACAGACTCAACCAGGTACGGAGGTGTTTTTGATTTATTTGTTTCTTGTTATCTTGAGACTCGGGTTCTTACTGCAGTATGTGTTCTCAAGTTCTCTAAGTAACACACTGAAAAGTCTCGCCGCTTAAATTCATGTCCCATGGATATATCTATTAACAAAAGTCCATCTTCATCTCACAGTCAACCCTCACTTCACCAGCCTCCCTTCCTCTCCTTCCTCACCCACCTCCCCCCCTTCCTCCACCAGGCACAAAACTCTCCGCCCTCGGATCCATCCCCCTCCCCTTCACCCTCCCCTTCAGCCTCGGAAACCCCACACTCCACCTCTCCCTCATCTCAAACCCCATTTCCCCACCATCCATAAACCGTCTCAGCTCCTCGTACTCTGCCGGCCTCGGGAAGCCTCCGATTTCCCCACTATTCCGGGTCCAGGATTCCGGTTGTTGTGGGTTTGTGGCAGGAGTGGTGGCTCTAGTGGAGGAGGATGTTGTGGTTGTGTAGTGGAACATTGTGATGGTGGTGTTGGGTAGGAAGGAGGGGTGGGAGAGAGGAGATATAGGGGATGGAAGATGTGAATATGGAAAAGGAGAGGGGGGTTAATGAGTATACATCATATGATTATTCTGATGAGAGGAGTATGAATAACGGGTATTTCCGTGAAAGAGCCTCTTCATGGGTGACGAACCATGAATGCCTTCATGAGGTAGTGATTCTTTGATGTTTATACGTTTTGTATGATCTCTTCCAAAAAGAAGATGGATGAAATAACAGTTGACTTGCTTCTTCTAAGTAAAAAGACCAAGAATGGTATCTGACTAGAGAGTGTTGTCGTATCGATCCAGCCGGTAACATCTAGCATAACAAATAAGGAACCTTGGAATGAAACAAAGGCAACTCAACCACTTCTCTCTATGGTTCAACTAAAGAGCACATCAACCTGACACTGTCACGCTCGTGACTATATAGATTCAGGGTGCTCGTAACTGAAATGGCGAATAACGCTATTATAATGAGACGGACAAAAATGAAAGGCAAAGATGAATATTCAAAAATGTAAACAATATATATACCAAACACCCTTCACCATAACCAAGAAACAAAATATTATCTACACCACCAAACACCACCACGACAACAACAAGTTCATGATATCATTATCCCCTATCCAACTCCCCTTTCCCCTTTCAACTCCCCATTCCCCTTTCAACTCCCCATCAACCCCCTAATACCCACTATCCCACAAATCATCCTCACTCTTAATCAGCTCCTGCACCTGCCCCAGCTTCTTCTCCTGCTTCTTCATCACCTTGCGATCCTCCTTCGTGATCAGTCTCGGCGTGACGGGAATCATCGGTGTGAACGGCTGGTAGAACGGAGAATACGGTACCGCGCCGGCACTCCAAGGGGTTTTGAGACCCGCGGTAGCAGGGCCAGAGTGTTGCGGTTCTTTGCGCTCGAGAACGGTGGTTTTGGTCGCGGGTTTGAAGGACGGAGATTTGAGACCGGTGTCGAATTGGCGGAAGGGGAGGGTGCGGGTGGATGCGTTCGTGGAGGGAGGGTTGGAGGCGGTGGGGATGGGGTGGAGTGGTGGGGGAGCGCGTTTGGATTGGGGGATGAAGATTGGGGTTTGGGAGGTGGTTGTTGTTGCTGACGGTGGGTCGATGGATTGCACGGAGGTTTGAGATGGGTAGTTTCTGTGTCGCTGATTTCCTGGTCCACCTGGTCCGTAAGGAGCGAGCTGTTCTGCGATACTTCGAGTTGGAGATGCTGGTGCTATGCTGGAATTATTGCGGGAGTGATTATATGGAACTTGATCGGTAGGTACGGGTGGTGGTGGTTTGTAGTATTTTGGTGATAGTGGTTCCCGATCGCCATGTTCGTCGTTACCGGGAAATGTCATTGACTTTGGTGTTGGAAGAGGTGAAGATATTTGTAATGGGCGAACTGCGGTCTTTCGTCTTGGTGATAATGCAGACAGAATGGAAGAAGCGCGAGATTTCGTAGACTTGTCATCGTCCAGTGTAATGTTTGACGGTCTCCGCGATTTATCCGCCTTCTTTGGTGATCCTCCTCTCTGCGGTGCTGGAGTCGGTATCGAGCCCGGCCTTTGTAACTGAACCGGTGAAGGTAAATCTTTCGGACTCAAACCCTGAGCCTTTGCCTCTTCCTGCTCCATCACATGGGCATAAATATCTTCCAAATTTCGTGCCGCCATTTCTTTATCGTGCTGAACAATTCGCGAGTCGACGTACGGATCGGTTCCTGGTGGGGTGATGGGTGATCGATTAATGACCGGATAAACGTAAGGATTGTGTTCGTCTTTCTCTGGGGAAGGCCAGGAGAAGTTTCTTGGGCTCTTGAGCGAAGGGGATTGTGCTGTTGGATCTATGTATAATGTCGGCGGTGAGGCAACTACCATCTCCACATCCAAGTGTCTGCGAGGTGAGAGCGCTCGTCGTCGACGTTTCCCGGCGCAAGTGAGAAGAGTGAGAGCGACAATACAGAGACAGAAGAGATATGCTCCCACGATGCCCCCGATTTCTGCTGGAAGAACGGTTTTGTCTCTGGTTGCTCCGGCCGATGCTGGAGGGCCCTTTTCTGGCGACGGCGCAGGAGACCAGTCGATTCCAATGCCACTTCGTAGTTGAAGTATCGTCCGCTTGACTGAGATGGCAGAAGCTGTCCGGAAGAGCCACGGAACGACTGTGACGACGAACACTGCTCGTGTTTTTATCGCATCCGGACCAGTCTTCTGCATTGCTTCAGCCTTTACGGAAACAATGCCTCAACTCCTTCACCGGGTTGCGAAACGTATCGTGATACAAGAGGCCGGGCAGAGACGAGCGCTGATATGCAACCAACATATTGGGCGGCTGGAGGCTGGAGGGGTGGCAGTTATGATATACCGCGAGCATACCAGTCGAATGGGCGGTACAAGAGGTACAGCTGCATGGCTGTTGCAAGGGGACGACGACAATAGCGCGGGTAAGCCATTTGGGCGATGTGATGGGCTGGAGAGGCAGATGTGCCAGGTGTGGTGACCATGAAGCTGATGCTGGGACTGGCTGAGGTGAGCGAATCCTCGAGGAAATGGCTCGTTCTGGATGTTTTGGGCAGAGTCGAAGCGGACTGGCTCGTGGTGGGGACGAAGGATGCGCTGTGGGTGGTTCAACCGCCCCCGCTCGTCTTCCCCGTGCAGCACGACACTCCCGTTCGCAGGCCTGGTTGGCTGCGCAATCCAGCGGTTAAGCGCCTGGCTGGAGTGGGTAAGGACGTGGTAGGGGACGACATTGGTGGGCGATCACTGCAGTCACGTCCGTGCCAGATCACATCCATCTCCATCCATCTCCATCCATCTCCATCCATCTCCCGTCAATATTATCTCGATTATCCTCACCGTTATTTGTACATCACGCTTCATATCACCCTTCATGCGCCAGACGATTGACTTCAAGTGGAGATCTCGTTTCTGAGCTGTGTTCCTTTTGCGACCTTCATGCGCTGACTTGATGTGATGAAGATTGGAGTACGTCGATCATAAACAGCGTTTCCCACGTCGCAATCATTGGTGATAAGATAGTTGTGTTTCATCGGCTGTGATTTCTGTCACTCCAATGAATATTCTTGAGCGGAGATTTGATTCTCCATGCTATTGGCACAAGCACCATGCATGATAGCTTCATTTGCCATTTCAGTCAAGAACACCCCAATCTGCATGGTCACTAGCTTGATAGTATCAAGTCACTGCGCTCTTTGTATTGCTCATGTAGAGAAGCGCTTACATTAATCTTCTCTCAATATTCTAGGGGTACTTCTGGCTATCACCGGCTTCATCGGTATCACAGTGTCGTTCCTGAATACCTTCAAGTCATTGGGCTCCATCACTTCTTATACTCGTTTCTCCATTTAATACTCTAATGATCATCCTATACTATCCGCTTCATATTTCATCTTCATTTGTACTATATTCTTTCCCATTTACCGGTATCCAGTGAAACGCCCTAAGCGAGGCGACTGTCCACCCATTCCCCTCCCTCCACTCCCATATCTCGGACTCGGAAACCCAGTACTCCAGCGATCTCTCATACCAAAAGACATCGGTCATCCCGTCATGAACCCTCTTAGATCTTCGTACTGAGATGTTCTTGCGAAATTCAATCTCGGTGACCATGTGGTGCCCACGGAGTTGAGTAGTGGGGACGTTGGTGTTGGGGAGTGTAACGAAACATTGTTGTGATTTGTCAGGATGATGTCGATATCGATGGTGGGATTTGCTTGAGAGGTACGGGGAAAGAATTGAAATTTTATACCTCATGGTTAGGGGTAGTGTTATTGTTGGCTATGGGAATTGAGAAGTGAAACTGTGAATTTTTAGTGGAAGCTCAAAATCACAACTCGCACATCTCATTTAGGGTTATGAGAAGCCTTTATTCTCAATTACAGTTTACTGCTCAGTCTATTAGAATAGCATTCTTCCAGATCAGAAGCCTATCTACAGAACGTAGTTGCTCAACAACTGAATGCTCATATTCATCAATCTCCACTCATTCCCAGGCAACTCAAACCCCAAAATTCTCACCGAGCTGTTGATAATAGTACCTCTAGGTCAGATATCAGCTACTCCCTAGCAGTATAAAGCATTATCATCTAGCTCTGAATCAGAAATTCTCAAGATTTACTGATAGAATCCTCATGCCAAAGCACATTAAAACCCAATCCTGTTCTTACTTCGCTCCTAAAACGACCTCCAACACCCCCATTCACGTGTGAAAGCCCCCTCAAAATAACACAACAATCTCTCCATTCCCCTTTCCTCACCGAGCTCAGACTACTCCTCCTCTTTTGAAAATGCTCGGGCGCTCGCTTACGAATTAATTCATTTGATGTAGAGCGAGAAAGGGGGTAAGGTTGCAACAGGTGGCCGGGTGAGGTTCTGTGTTTTTTTTCGTGTCGGAGGATTGCGTTTTGGTGATGATGGTGGCAAGATGGCAATCTGGGAGTTATCTGAATTGAATAGTTCTCCAAGCCCCCTAACTTCCTAAGCCCGTAGAGTTTTCTATTCAGCAACATCTTCAAAGTGTTTGTGTTTTCGCATCGACAAGCAAAACTCGAATCCGATGTTTTGTTCAAAATTTGGGAGTAGTTCCAAATTCTAGCTTTCGAGGAAAAGAAACATGAAGGTATATTATGTTGAATACCCGGAGGTATACCTAGCGTCCTCAAACTTCTCACACCCTCCTATCCCCTCCTCACACCTCGCATATACAATCCATTTCCACAAACAGCGAAAGCAGGGAGGCCAGTAGCAATCAAAACGCCCAAGTCCATCGAGTGAGTCGCAAACCCAACGCCAACACCACCACCGATACACAAGACCAGGAAAGCCATCAAGATGATGCAGAAACCAAAACGGGATAGCTCGGTCTTGATCAAGATAGCCTTCTTAATATCTGTGTCAACTGAAGTAGTCACCACGTCGAGATTCAAGTCCGTGAATTCGAGATGAGATAAGATATCCGGATTACTCCATGCGCTGGTGAGGAGTTTGTTGGATGTGCTGGATTCGATGAGGACTTCATGGGATGGTGCTTCGACGTCGTACTCAGCACAGTACTGATGCCAGTGTGAGTATATGAATTTCAAGATAGGGAGGGAAGTGTTACGGGGGAAAGTGTAGCAATCTCAAGAGTTGCCGTGCGGAAGACGTCGAGATGCTTTAGCCACTGCGAATTGCCGTAGAGGAAGGTGTTGTGGTGCCGGATGAGCTTCTTTATGGCGATGGGGAGAGAGTCGTTTTGGTGTATGGAGCAGAATTCGAGGTAGTGTCGAGCGGCTTTGGTGTATATGATTCTGACGTCGAGATGCGTGTTTGCAGTCACGGATTCGATGGTAGATTGAGTAGACATGGTTAGGTGATGGGGCAGTTTTGAATCTAACAGAATAGATAGACAGAGACTAGGTGATATTGAGTTTGGTTTTTTATACAATTAGTGGAATAAGGTCACTCTTATATTCGCCGTATTTTTGCGTGGCAGGCGACATTCTGGTGGAATTGTGTCTGCCATGTTCTTCGATATCATGGATCGAGGTATTGTTTTCAAGAAGGCGTTTCAACGAGAGACTCGTAACCTTAAGTAACGTTAGTGAGTTAATTGCGCATCGACGAGTTCTTGTAGGAATGCGTCGCTGTGTAAACCTCAAGCAACGAGGTAGGTCAATATCGACGGGATCTTGTGGAAGCAGGAAGCAGGTATGGGATTGGGTTCCTCGTTTGTGCTTTCGCTTGCAAGCCCCAGGTGCTCGCAGGGAGGGGAGGCGTGCAGTGTATATCCGTGATAGGGATTTCAAGCGTATCACTTGGAATCTCACCAAGGGTTTTCTTCTACAAAAGAATGATATATTGTTTTCTTATTATCCAAATTAGTTTGCTACACCTATATAGTCCATTCGACTGGTCAGTGGTCAATTACTATGTGTGTAAATCAAGCTGCTCAAATGATCGTGCTTCGCGTGCCCGTAGACGGGTGAGCATAGCAAGCTATTCCCGAAAACAATATTGGCACATAGGGCTGAAGTGGCAAAATCCCACGACTTTTTGTGGAAACAGAAACCCTCTTTCCCAGCAATTGGCGAATAATTGGCCTCCTACAACAATGGCGCGTGGAATTGGCGTCGGGGAAGCCCTCGCCAGCTTCGATTCGCACATCAAACGCCTGTCTATCATGTCCCTTTCTCCGTTCTCTGTTCTCTCAACCATTCCCTGCGCAACAACCTGCGATCGTGGGGTTTGTAGCCGCTCTAAGTGAAAACGTCCGCACTGAGCATGTCTCTGGATACAGGCTCTCGAGGTGCGAAGCAACATGCTTCATTTGATCTGGTGGTAGGAGATAAAGTAATAGACAACGGTACGTTATCATTGATAAACCTGCTGCCAGCGATGCCACGAAGTGGCTGTCGCGCGAGGGCACCGTTGATGATGGGCGATCCAACTATGCACGTTGCTATCTTGAGTCCTCTCGCTAATGGACTTGCCTTGTTCTAGATAACTCGGAACATACTCGAAATCGGGGTCGGCCGGCGGACCTAGGGAGAGGTTCGTCGATTTCTTACCAATTCCCATTAAGGAGTCAGTCATTGATGTTCCCACCCCCCAACGGCAAAACCTTCCGTCCAAGTCTGTGGTAACGGCGCTACCAACAGTGAGGGACTACACCACGGATCAGCTAGGGCCTGAGGGAGATGAATATATTCGTCTAGAATATGATGAGCATATTCATCTAGAATATGATGAGCGAGGAGAGGAGAAGGTTACCTCCACCG